TTCTATACATATTATATAATATTTTTATATTTATTTATATTTATATATAATATTTCGCTTTTACATTTACTTCTAATTGCTTAGATATTCTTGAAACAGTCTGTTTTTATTTAGGTACCAATTAGATATACAGGTAACAATTATGCGTATTCCAGTTTCGACAGTGTTCCTAATTTTTGCTCTTTCATTGTTCGCCTTGATACAAATTGTAATTTGATACGAAGAAATAAAAGACGGGTTACTGCTATTGTGAAACTCACTTTTTTCGAGCCAAAGTATCATAACTTAACCTTGCCTCATTGACAGGGATTTGAACCAGGGACCAACGAAATGAATTCCTGGCACAACCATCCTGAGCCAATGAGCCTTGTTGGAATATTTAAAGTCATCTACATTTTCAAAAGTAAGGCAATAAAATATATTTAGATCTTCGGAAAACAGCTTTTCTAAATTTATGAAGCTGAAATCAATTATTATACTCACTTTTACATTCTTAATCATATATTAACACTTTTTTCAAAAGATTTATTTTTTATTGCCTTAATTTTGAAAATGTAGATGATTTTAAATATTTCAATATTTACTTTCGTCATAAAATCATCCCAAAACCATTTTATAAGTACATGTGCTTGATTTATATCACAGTAGGAGAAATACAAACAAATTAATTGAACAAGACGAGTAATAGGGTATGTGAAGTAAAATAAATGCTTTCAACGATGAGAGAAAAGTTGCTTATATACCTACCTAAAATTGTATATAAACCCTTTATATTTGCATGTTATTAAGCAAAAATTATGGAGTATGGGACATAAATCTTTTACGAGAAGCTGAATCATGTGACAAAATTAATCTTACCCTTGAAATATACATCAGAAAAAGTGATTTTAAGTTATTTATTATTTAATCTAATATTTTCGTCAAAATGTCATCTTTGACATAGATTCAAGATTGAGAAAAAAGAGAATGAGTGAAAGAACTGAAATTGAGGAAAAATCCAATGGGCTGTTCATCGAATAAAATTGGCCGGCAGAAGCACCATTGATGCATTGAAGCACTAGACAAAACAAATTCCAAGAAAAAGTAAACAAATTCTTGGAAAAAGGCCATTTTTCTTGAAAAACACTAGTGATTTTTGATGCTTCATTTGGAGGCAGCCGGCAGAAGCACTACGATGACATTCCCCCTTGGAAAAATCTAATGGTTGAACAGTCGTACACCAATTTTGTTGAAAATTTCAACAATTCATTCCTGTAGTCATGCATGTGGATAAATTAAAGTGTGATTAGGGTCCTAATTATTTGTTGTATGTAAGCTCTGAATATTGTGATCAATTTATTTATTCACGCCAACTATTTCAATTTATTCGTCGTCATCTACTTGGGTTTCCTTTTCTTGAAATCACTAATAATTTATACTGATTGAAGTAGATACCGATTTTGACTACTTTTGGTCTAAAAAGTGTAAGTTTTTTCTTCATTGACTTATATCCAAACTCATCATTCGAAAATTTACCTTATTAACTATACGGTCTGAAAAATAATTTTCTATTTAAGCAAATTCAAAATGAATGAGTCTGTCAAAATTATAGCACAATCGCTCCAAGCACAGACAGAATTCGAGGTTTTTGATTTATGAAGCGACATTTGCGATATTTCAGATTTTTATTGTAAAATTTATTATTTCTATGATTAGTGTCTATTGTAAGTTAAATCATAAAATTAAAAGATATTTAACGTTTTAACCTTTTTTTCATTGAAATGGTTATAACTTATAAATAGATGTCAAAGAATAAAAATAAAAAAGAAAATTCAATTTCCGAAAAAAAATGTAAGAAATTCGAATCTTAGATCAATCTGCTTTAGTCAAACATCAAGCGATATCTTATACTTAAATATTTGGTTGAAGTTCAAAGAAATCTTCTTTTCTCAATTTTTTTTGACGACGCAACACGTTTTGAGCAGGAAAAGGATTCACTTTATTGCTTTCAATTTAAAAGTAGCTTTTTTTAGCTTTTTATTTGAGGAATTGTTTGTGTGTTTAAAACGATAAACTTCTCTAGTTTCACATTTTCTTTGGGTAAACATCGTATTGTAATAAGCTTTTTTATTGATTAAATAATATTCACTTGGGAAAAAGATAAACTAGATTTTGATAAAATCATACATCTGTACTTCTAAATATTGCAACATTTTTTAAGTTATTCTGTTAAACCCATTAGAATAGTCAATCAACAAGTATATTGATTTTCAACAGAAATGTATTTATACATACAAAACGAGACAGGTCCGCGAGTTGATTCGAAAACAAAAATCAATAAAGTAAAAGGAAAAAAGCAACCTTCTTGATAATGTGTACGAAAGCGAAACGTATATTGCCATCAATGAGCAACAGTGTTTCAGTTTATTCTGAGCTACTTTCAAGTTTCAATGCATAATAAATGAGTTTCAGGAAAAAATGTTTTTGCTCATGCGCTTGAGATGATTGTTGCGTTATTTTCCATAGAATGTTTCTTAAAATGAATCGAAATTGTTAATATTCAACAGGCAAAAACATTGATGTTGTTGAATATTTTATGTTTTGATGTCGTCATCACCAAAAAAATGTTTATCAATAAAAGATTAAAATTATGATGAAAGATACTTTTGGGTTTTTGTTTTTTCAATTCAAAAGTTTAACCTTAGTTTCTTTATAAATTATGTCAGCCACGCTTGCGTCAAGGGAAAGCTCAAAACATGATAAGGATGCTTACAAGTCCTAGGCGGAAAATCATTTCCATTTTATGACTGCTTAGAATTTCTTTCAATGTGTTAATGCTTTCACTTTTCTTACTGTAAACAAAGCAAAAGCTTTTTTACGCTAGAACATCCGTTATCGCTTTAGTCAAGGAAATTCTTGCGCGGTAGTTGGAACAACAAGTTGTTTTCCTCATCATTTATTACCCCAGTAGATTTTCTAAATGACATTTGGTTCACTTTTTTTGGTGACCTTTTTTCTTTATAACAAGTAAGAGCTTTAAAAATTGTGTTTTCGTGTCAAAGGCGAAATTTTTTTGTCTTTTGTAATATAGCTGAAGTGAAAATTTTCATTATTCTCGCTGTTTCTTGCAAACTGAGATCCCGATACATCCGTGAACATGAAAATTATATCAAAAGACAAACTAAATGATTATAAATAAATGATTGCAAAGCGACTATTAATTGAGGTGTTGAAGTGAAAACTAGTCGAGTTATCAACGCTTTGTTTTTCCTGTTTGCACTCCCCAAATTATCTTCTCGTTGTGTTTGGATTGAAGAAATTTATACTAGATTATATTTTTAATTTTTCTCGCCCATCCTTGTATCGAGAAAAACATATTGCGATTAGCAGACATAGAGAGAAAAATAATGTCACGTAATGATAATGGATAAACTCTGGATAATCTCATTAATTCTATCAACTGCACATAAGACAAGTAAGTTCAATCTCATCGATTTTTTAATATAAACTAAGACATGTAGCAGAAAACGTAATGAAATTTAATTAAGTGAATTTGAAAAGTGTAAGCCCTTAGTAGGTTGTTCAAATGCGTTGTGAAGGCGTCGGCAAGATAGATGAAAGAAAAACTTTTACCATTCAATAAATAAATTCATTTGTAAAAGAAATTAATATCGTTTATTTGCTTTTTCTTTTTGTTTTAAAACTGTTCGGAAACATTGATGACTAATATTGAACTTCTTTTTTAAAATTGTAAATGAAAATATTAACAATTCCCTTGCAATACTTTGATGAATTCAAACCTGAACAATGAACGTAAGCACAATTTCATTCGAAATATTTATCGTTTCTTTTAAATTCTTGTAAAAATTTAGCTTTGTGCTTATAACTCCTTCTTTCGATCATGTGGTGTTGAAAAGCTCGAATGTATAATTTAATAATCGTAATTGCTTGTAATATACGTGAATTATGTGCTTGTTTAATGAAATATAGTAGATAGAAAAATGTTAAATGATGTGAAGGAGTCATGTTACATGATTCATGATTTATGTAATCTATTAGTTTAATGAATATCGTTCGCTTTTATACTGAATTGTTGTTCAAGAGTTCTCAAGAGTTCTCAAACATTATTTTTTGAACAAGCTTTCAATTTAATTCAAGAAGATAGCAAGAAGCTTATGTCTTATATCATTAACTACAAAATGTTCAGATTTTTTAAATTGACTTTGAGGCTTACGAAATTTCGTCGGGATTTTTTAATTGTGTTAAAACTTTTAAAATTCCGAAAGACAGTATGTTTATACTTAGAACATTTGGAATAGCGTGAAAAAAACACATATAAATACAAGTCTATGTTGGTTGAAATGTAGTTTATTTGCTTATAAAGCAACAGACGTATTTTCATAGAATGCTTGACAATGAATTTGTATTTTTATTTTGGATTTCTATTAATATGATATTTAATATTAGTCTAAGCCTTTGAAATGAGACTATAAATTATATTATAAATATTAATCTTGCACGAAAAGATGAAGAGAAGTAATGCGTAGAAAGATACAAGAGTCTTTGTCCTGGGCTTTGAAGGCGAAACTGATACTCGACAGAATCTTAGATAAGGTAGTTAAGTGAGAGATAAAAAGCGTAAACTTTTACCGACTTTACCATGAAAAAAAAAATAACTTCTTTGCCTTCCTTTTCTCGTCATCCATTATGGATCATTTCTTATCTTGCTAATAATTTGGAAGACGCCGAAAGCATAAGAGAAACTAGATTTTTATGTGTTTTACATCAAATGTTCGTTTATGACTCTCTCGATATTTTTAGCGAAATCTTATTCTCGATAGCTCTTCATAGTAATACTGATGTTGATTTAAAACAACAAAGGAAAAATAAAATACTCAATATCTTTTTTGTACAACCTTGGAGATATTTCAAATACTTTAATTTTAAAGAAAAATGATAATAATGAAGTGGAAGAATCAACATTCTTGAATTTCGTGGATTTATGTGCTTGGAATCCCGCTGTTTTCTAAAACGTTTGTATCTAAAATGACAAAATTCTCTTCATTACCTTTGAAAGCTTTAAATTTCCCACTTGAGCTTTTCTCTGGGAATACTAAGCGACGTTACAAGAACCTATCAAAATATTTTGACTCCATTACGTTAGCTCGTATTTCAAAATTCAAGATAATGTCGAGCAGGGAGAGAGATAGAAAAAGAGAGTGAAAATCTCGTGAGGAATTTCTCTCCTATCATGAGAAAAAAGTAAAGTCATCAGATAAGCTTGAAGCTTTTTGTATTGTTCAATTTACAATTTACAGTCATAAAATGAATAGAGAAGAAAAGTCCGGGGTTGATCTGTTAAAATTTCTTTGTCTGAAGTGAACCTTCGGTTTTCGAGCTCAATTTGATTGTGTATATTATATGAAGAAAGAATCATAATATCCAAAAGAAGAGACAGGATGAAACAAGGGATAACATGAAGAAGCATATTTCAATAAACTCTTATAAGTCCGAGAGCTCAAGTCGATAAATCAAAAAAATTAATAGAGAAATCTTCTTGTTTCAGATGGACAATCAAGTGTGGAAGTTCAATTGATTACAAAGAAGTATGTTGAAAAAGGTTCAAGTACAACACTTTATTGTCGTCATAATGTTGACATGGATATTCTCTATAAGGTAAAAAATTAAATTCTTTGAGCTCTATCGTAGATTTTTTTCTCATCACGAAATCAACTATTTAAATATTACTTTTCTGATTTTCATCATGATTGTGATTTATATTTATTATAATTTTATGTTCGTAGCGTGTGAAAAACGTGAAGCTATGGTTCATTCTTGTACCATTAACTGATTTATGGTAGCTCCGCAAAGAGGGAGTAAAACTTTCTGATCGTTTCACTTTATTTATTATCATCTATTTTTAATTGATTTGAAGCGTATTGAGCTTACGCCAGGAATTTAAAATAGCAGCAAAATGGAAAATTTATATGTTGTAATTTGCTATCGTCAACAAAAAATATATGAAATTTGTCCATTGAATTGCGTGAAAAACGAAACGGGAGATGAGATAATAAAATTATCTACACAAAATCTTTCTTATTCCTTTTTCTACACCAATTCACTCAATTTAGCTCATCAACTTTACTTTTTTTATGCTGGATCTAAAAGATAAAAGTTTTCGTTTATATTTGTAAATCGTTTTAGTACCTACTTAATTCAGCGTGAAAAAGTATTTGCCACTCTTCTGATAGTTCTTTAACGTGATTTTTAATTTAGGATCAGTTATTTTAAAATTTTCCGATAATTGTTTGCATCCATAGGTGGCTTGGCTTCGAAGCAGTGAACACAAATTTTTCGAATACATTAACAATCGAATTCCACCTTACAGAAATTTTTCAACGCCCGGAGCTGACATTGACGTGAGTAAATATTTAGGACTTCACTAGACTAATTACTGGTTTGTCATAAATTTTAATTAATAACTCGCTTTGGGTTCTTAATGGAATAATAACATTTTGCTTGCAAAAGGGTTGGTTATCATCCCGTTGGGTCGAACTTAGTAAGCACATATTTTTTCCGTCTTTTGAAGCATTAGAAAATAATACAAATTTTAATATAAGATTTTTACCAAGAGACTATTCACACCATACATGTATTATTGAAAGTTTTATTGTTCGTTGAAAAATGTAATAAAAAGTATGTTCTATTCAACTGGTTTAAGAAATCGAGTGATATGATACAGTTGAAGATCGATAAGCTGATGCCTCAATAAACTCCTTGATGAGCTGATATTTTTTTGTCCCCCTTGCATCGAATTTCTATGAAAGATTGCCCCGATAAGCTGATATCCTCGATAAGCTGATATTTTTTTGTCCCCCTTGAGATATCAGCTTATTGAAGTTCCACTGTATATCAAAAGCAGCTTCAGAAAATCTTATACATACATACATGTATATATCTCATTCTCACAGAAAAATTGTTTTGGTTTCGGTCATAAATGATCAAGAACATTAGAAACTAAATTACAGGAAACATATTAAACATAGCTAAATGTTCCCTAAAAATTTATTATTTTATTTTAATGTGTTTGATTTACGAGCTTTGCACACATTGTGTAACGTAATAATTCCCCTCCTTTAAGCTCATAATAATAGGATTAATAAATTCTACGCAAAAAGCACAGATATATCGTTTATGACATGGTGATGGTGTTTGATATATAAATAATTAAAACCGTTTTAAAGAAAAAAAAAGTTAACGTTTTCAATTCTTATGAATTAAAGAGAGACTGCGGGTATGTTGAAATTCGATTTGATTATGATTCTAGAAGCTTACGGGAGCTTAGGAATACAATTCAAACATATATTTTTTGAATGGATTTCAAGAATTTTGGATGTATATTCGTCAAAAGTTTTTTAAACATTGACAAGTATGTACCTAAATAGTGAATAATTCGACCTTTAAGCAATTTATGCAATACGCAAGCCTACCGTTTGTTGTCACAATTCATTTCATTTTTTCATTTATTTCTCGTATACTATCTAATTATAACATAGTTTGAATACTTTTTTTTTTCCTCTTATATTTTTAACAGTTTTCAAAATCCAATGAGAGTCAAGTGACGTTGATGAATGTAGACTTTGATGCGACAGCTGGATATTATTGTGAAGTTTCGATCGACAATCCGATTTTTACGAAAGCATCAAATGAAGAACATATTCATGTTATCGGTAATAAAAGTTAAAACGGAAAAAATGTAACCATGAATTTTTAATTTTGATAAATTTCGTTTACAGTTAAGCAAACTGGTTCCCCGAAAATCTTATTTAAGAAGAAATTGTTTGTCGTGGGTGAAAATCTAATAGCAAATTGTACAACAACTCGTGCAAAGCCGCATCCCCACATCACTTGGCTAATTAATGGTAAAAAGGTAAAATCGTAATAAAATTGTTACCTGGAGTTCAAATATAAGCATAACAAGTTACACCAACAATCCGTGCAGGTTATCGTGATTTCACTTACTTAACTTTAGTCACACACAATGGAACTATTATTTTCTCTTACTCTCAAATGAACGTTCAAGCTACAGATGAGCGTCATGAATCTCTTAATTAGAGGTTTTCTGTTTAATTAATATTTGACACGAATTGTATGGTTAAATAAATTAAAAAGTAGAAGTGATTGTGAACATATTGTGACAGCTTCGTCATGTGTATTAGATGCTTGTATTTTATTTTGTTGAAATGTTTGCCTGGGCCAAATTTTAAAATGACCAAAATTACATCTTCAGTTGTGACGATTATCTTTAAATGTTGTATATTTATTCAAATTTCTTGAATCTCACAAGAACGTTATAGTGCGTGACGTCCGTTTATTAAGCTCACTTTTCTTTAGGCAGTCAAAAGCACTGTTGATGTTAAATTTCCTTTTCTTTTGTGTTGAGGGAAAAATTATTTAATTAAAAAGAAAATTATTTTCACCCATCTCTGGGGTTTGACTCTTAAAGTAAACCTTTTTCTTTTTTTGGACGCTGTTCTTGTAGAAAGGCATGAAGCACTTGCTTCAAAGGCCTTTTTCGTCCATCTGCTACAATGCTACTACAATGATGGTATAATTTAAATTGCAAGCAATGAATAAGAAATTTTTGGTTCCCTTCGAAAGAATATCACTTCTTTTTTAATTTGTTCATCATTTATGCTGAACTGTTTATCTGATGGAGTAAAAATATAAAAAAAATCTAGTATTGGCTTGAGAATTAAAAGAAAAACGCAACCGAACATCTCCATCTGCTTTTTTTTTTTGAATAAGAAGATTTTCCTGTAATTGAATTCATATCACAGAATCACGAAAAATTCAATTTGTACGGAAATTGCAAAAAACACATACAGAAAAATTTTAGGTTCAAAAAACAAGAGAGTGAATAGAGAAAAATTGTTTACTTCACAATGAATACTTATAAGCCTTTTACTTAACTGAACATTATCTCGAATGCCAAACGAACATTTAATGAATAATTCAAATATTATTTTGATTATAAATGAAAAATTCAACAGGTTGATGATATTTATACGAAAACTCTTCACCCTTATTCGTGGAGTTCGAAATACAATCGATCAAAACCTCATCACAACAATGTTCAACAATCAACCCAAAATAAAAGTGATTTTAATGATATACGAGGTGCAATGTATGGAAAAATGACAAATACAGCTCAAGAATCTAAAGGTAATCGACTTTTCTTGTTTGTAAATTACAAATTTCAGTTTTTTTTCTCTACCTACTTTAACTATGTATGAAAATGTATAATTCTGATCCAACTTAAAAGCGGCTTCAACTACCAACCCCGAGATAGAGCTATATATCGTTTGAGTAGTTTCGATAATATCATAGCACAAAGCGATAGAGGTCTATTTGATTCTGGCGAAGAGAGAACACGAGAATCGGATGTAAATCTCTATGACAATAAGCACTTCGACAACTTCAAAATCCACAGGTGAGCTCATTTACAAAAACTTCTTTTATTATAATGATTTATGGACAGAATGAAAAAAATGTATTCGTGTTGCCGAGTGCTGAAAACTTTCATTTAAGAGATGGTTGAATTTTAACCTTGCTTGAGTTAAATCCGACAGGTCCTATAAGGCTTAACAAACTGATAAAATTCTTTGAAATCCGAATCATTGAGTTCTCCAATTCTATTTAAACCTTTGCAAAGCTTTGTAGCAAAAGTCAATCTATAAAAAAACTTTGTTTTCAAAAATCGTGAATAATTTTCCTAGGGAAATGTTGATGTGAAAATTTTATAATCAGGCCAAGCATATCCGGTTACTGTTTCATATGTAGATGATATTGCAAAAAATACTTTCCAATGCATACCATACTGTTAGGCTTTTAAAATCCTTCCTGGGATTATGACTCAACACAAACTTTCTTTGACCATGACAGATCTATCAAAAGTTTTACTTGGTTTATTCATCTGGTATCAAATATTTTTAATATGAAGCCATCACTCAGACGTTTTTTTGATATTATTTATGTTATGTGTAAATATGAATTGTTGCCTGTTGTTAATAAAATTGCATGAGAGTGTTGGTTTTTTTTATATCATTTCAATATTTTGAAGACAATATGAGAAGCTTTATTGAAAGTTCTGACGAAAAATAAATCATGATGATCCAATTGATTATTATTAAAAAAGTGATACATAATATGAAAAATAAACAATATACACGATGCTCAATATTTCTTGAATTTTTCTGTTAATATATTTTAAAAGAATTACTTTATAAATGTTTCAGTTATTCAAAATTAAATCTATCACTCTAAATAAAATAAAATAAATGTCTCAGTGCTTGGTTTCATTAATCATTATGGAATTAGAATAACAACCGAAAAAAATTTAGATTTTAATTTTCGCATTCAAATAATTTTATTATCCTTAGAAATGCTTTGAATGAATTTCACAAAATTCGAAGACACCTCAAGGAACCGAGAACTTCCAAGCAAACCAACAGCATCAAACTTGTCATGAATCGAGCCACTTATTCAAGCAGTCAACTTAGTATTAAAGTCTCAGAATTACATGCTGATACCAATGGACGATTGGAAATTTCATGTGTGAGCACAATACCAGCAAAGATAGGACAAGGAGAAATGTACGCTGATTACAAGTCGTACAGTGTTAAGAGTAAGTGACGACATTTATTCTCATTATACTCTTTAATGTTGATCCTAGATCTGAGAAGATAGTAAGCAAAAAAATTCTAAATTGTCATTTCTCTTTCTCAACTGTGACTCGAAAAGATAAACCTTCTAATCTCGGTATTGTGCGTGCGGGAGTGAGAAATAAAAAATCAGTGCTTATTCTCTATTGCTTTCATGGACACTGCGACGAATCTTGCTACATAAAAGCGACCTTTTTTAATTAGGCTTACATTAAAACCTACCAAGCATCTCGGAAGATATAAAAGTAAACATAAGTCGCGATAAGATAAAAATTGTCAACTTTTGAATTTATTTTTATTTAGTTGTGATGAAGGAAGCGCTGGAATTTCTCAGAATATTAGGATGAATAAACCGAAAAAGTCTTCAGAAAGAAATATTTGTCTCAGGAGATTTTTCCATCGTCTCCATTTGTTTCTTATCGCAATTCAGAACTTTTTTGATAATGAGAATCTTTAGAAGAATTGTCGAAAAACTTTTTAATTACTTTCTTCGTTCATTTATTTGAGTAAAAATTTGCTTATTATATAAATATAATTTTTTTTTCATATCTTTATCTTGAAGTCGATGTGAAAACAGCCGATCCAACAACTACCAATCCACCAACTGTAGGAATGGCAGCATTAGGAGGATGTGCCCAAATACAAGTCAACATTTTCAACTTAATAATATTTCTCGTGTCACAATGTCTACCATTTTCAATTTTCTACTCTTTTCTATCAATGTAAGCTTTACAAAAAATCTAAGAAATACCTTAATCATGAATTATATAGATATATCAAATTATTAACTATCAAAAATTCAACTCTGTCAATTTACAATAAGGAAACAACTTATATTAAGTATTTTTTAAAAATTCTCTTTTCTAAAAGCATTTAAAAAATCATAGTAACGTTTTTATCTTGAAAGGAGCTTTGAAGTATTTATGAAACTCAAGAAAGAATCTAAAGTGAAAGAAATGATAATGAAATAATATATGAAGACATATCGTAAATTTAAATGTATATTTTAAGATTGAAATTTACATTTGATGTGAATAAAGAATGAAGAAATAAACATTTCGATGAATTATAATTGAATTGCTTTTTAATCAATAAATTAAATTTATTAACGGCGTTTCCTGTTTTTGTTTCTATTCCAGGGTTGTGGATTTCAAATTTATTGTGTCAAACGTTACCATTCCAGTAAAATCACTTAAACTTCATGAAAACATGTTTTAGGTACTTAAAAAAAAATGTGTGAATTTTATTGAATTTCTTTCTTTATATTTTTAACAATTTGTAAGACTGTTAGTAAAATTCAACGCGAGTACTTCAACAGACAAGCCTTTTTACAGAAGTTCACGGAGAGGGATTTACTCGTCCCATACTCGAGATTAAGCTCGAGATTAGTGGGAGAGAGAGTTGTTTCGCTTTCAGTACAGTTCCATGGAGCCTTTTTTCAGTATGAATTCTCTCATTGTTTTCCTTAATATGCATGCATATTAAATCCTTGATTAAATCGATACAAAGGGATCTCAAATCTGTTTTAGGTATCTCTATATCTCGCTTTCCTGTTGGCGAAAAACTTTTCAATTATCAAGACGAAATATCTAAACTTCTTAAAACCTCATTATAATTTTTTGTCCATGCCAGGACTCGAACCTGGGACCTGCAAGAGTACACTTGCATTTAATTCCGACACCTGACCACTAGACCAATGAGGCAGTTTAGCTTGATGTACTTTCTGTAAAAATTCTTTGAGATATGTACAGTCGACGCTCCACAGTCCTCCATTAGTTTCTGCTTATAGCAATTCGATTATGTGTGACTTATTGACATTTTTCAGTTGAAACAAAAAAAAACTATGTGGCATGTATGATTTTGTCGATATAGCAAATTAAAAAAATTATGGAACTAGTAGATATTTAACAATAATTTCAATAATTCATAAAGGAACATATAATCAACATGAAATGACAACAAAATGCTTCATAATATATGATTTTTAAGAGTTTTCAAATGGTGAATTATGAATCTTTGACGCTTTTTTTGAGTTTAGAATTTCTGTTACATCCTACTCGAGTTTTATAACCGTTCACAGACTCTGTGATGAAACTTGAAAATTTATTTAAGGCTAAGAAGGTTGGATTCAATTTAAGCATGAATCGTTTTGAATATTTGCAAAATTCATTCTATCATCAAAATTCCTCACTTCAATATTTTGATTAAGGTGTCATCAAAGAGCAAGTGTAATATCTTTATTAGGAGATGACATATCCGAAAAGATGCTCTTACTTACAATCTAATGTTTACAATAAAGAAAAAAGATCACAGAATAACAAAACTCGTTTTACCTTGGAAGATACACATACACATCAGTATATTGGAATGTTCATCCTTTGGTTCTGCATAAATATCATGAACTACCGAAAGGGACAGAATAACTTTCTTGTTCATTTTTTGTTGTCAATCATACGAACTTGCTTTTACTCTCCATGTAACTTACAACTCGTACCATTTTCATCCAATTATTTTTCGTAGCACATCACATTCTATTTGAACGACGTGAAGAGACTTCATAATTCATCACCGAGAGATATAAGTGGGCTTTAGATACACACATACATTTGAACACTTGATGACTCATATAACATATACATATATACATGAACACAAACAGAATTCTTGGACAACAAAATGTCGCAAAAGAAAACTTTTCAACAATTTTTTAAACTTGTCATTTCTAATAATCCAATTTAGAAAGTTCAAGAACGGAAAACAAGTAGGGGAAACGGAAAACTTTACATTCTTGTGAAACGAATTCCATCGAAACAATATGTATATTGAATGAAGTAGAACTTAAGGGCGTTCTAGAGTTTTTTTATATGTCAGTTATGGAACTAAAAATTTAAGATTTTTAAACTAAAATTGTAGATACTTACGTTTATTTAAACATTGTCATTTAATTTTGCCGGGCAGTGCAGTGTGTTGAAGTGTTGTGCACAGACATTGAAAAATGTCTGCGAAACACAAAGACAAAGACGTCTTTGAACATGTCTTCAAAACACGAAGCCACAGACGTCGTCTTTTGGAAAATGATTGCAAGTCATGTCTCCGTGTTTTGAAGACATGTTCAAAGACTTCTCAAGAAAAATTTACTAAAAGCGCTTATTATTTCTAGTGTTCCATAATTTTTATCAACTTTCAGTGCAAGTTACTAAAAATTATAGCACACTTGTGAAGCAAGCTTAAATAGATATTTTCTAAGCTCACTAAAAGTTGTAAAAAATTGTAAAACACATGCGAAAATAAGCGCTTTTAGTAGATTTTCTTAGGAAAAAATCTTGTTTTTCAAAAATGTTTGTAAAACACAAAGACGTTAAAAAATGTCTGCGAAACACGAAGCCACAGACGTCTGGGAGACACCGAAAATATGGCTGGAAGTCGTGTCTGCAAAACATGTCTGCGGTCTGCCAGTCATTTTTTCGAAGACACAAAGACATGTCTTTGAAAATTTGCACAACACACTGTGTTCACGCAACAATAAAGAAATATTTTAAAAATTGTGAGTTTTAAAATTATAAACATTTTTAAGAATCATTTTAACATTAATTAGTCTAGTCGAGCAAATATTTGATAAATTGATAAAAATGAAAAGATTTCTCTTTTGGGAATCTGCCACCAATGTCTATTAAATTCTTTTCGGTGTGAAGTGTTCGAGTAATAAACTTTTCTCAAAAAAGAAAAAAGAATAAAAAACAAGAGATTTGTTTGCAATTTGTAAAGTTTTTTTACAGCAACACTTGGGAAAGTTTCAAGAAGCTTTTTCCTGAGAGGATTTCTGAAAATGCTTTCGCTATCGACAATTCAGCTCTCCGATTCGCATCAATAACCAAACCACACCTGCCTCGTTTTCTGTCTTTTGTATTTAAGTCAGTCATAATTTTACTGATAGATACGGAATGAGAAGAAAACATTTTCTTCCCTTACGACAGCAAATCGATAAAGTTTTCCCTTTGTGTTATCCGTAACGTTTTCGAAAATTCATAAGTTTTTTATTTTACTTTTTCTTCCGTTGCCAATATCTACATTATCAGTCACAAAAATGATTCATAGGAGGCACAAACCACGTAGCGTTAAATAATTTTTGTAATTGACGTAATTACATTTACTTTATGACGAAAATTGGCTTCGTTTCATGTTACTGTGAATATTCACGAAACTTTTCTCATTTTTTTTTTCTTTTGTTGAACGCAGTCGTTTTGTGTACGCAGAGCAAACAGCTATCAGAGTTATTAGCTTAAAAAACTATTCTCGTATCCTGCTGCTTCTTTTTACTCGACCCCAGTTAATAGCGTTAAGATATTCTTTATTTGAGTGTTGCACGAAACATTTTTGATGGCTTCAAAGTTACGCTCGCACGTTCCTTCAGAGGTAAAAAAGTTATTTACGATATGATATAGATGATAAAATAAAGCATTTTCCTTTCAACTCTTAACAGTAAGAAAAGAGAACACCGCTGATAAAGTGCAATTATCAAGTTTAGTTTGGGTTGGCAAATTCAATTTAACTGAACATTATAATGAAGTCTAACTGTCCTACTTGATAATGGAGAAAAGTAAATAAACTACTGAATAGGAAGACAAGCCCATGTTTTCCTCACGAGGCTCAACTCTCCTTTGATTCCGTCACTTGGGAGTTTTCAGTGTAAAAGTAAAGAAACAATATTTTTATTGATTTTCCGTAAAAAACGAAGTAAGTATAGACATGCTGTTGGTAATAAGTATGAACTAATAATAAATTTATTACTTTTTTAAATTGAAAAAGCAACTAGCCATTCTTCTATAAAATTGTAACAGGAAAAAATCCTTTTATTTTTTAAATTATTGGTGTATCCATAATTTTAACCAATTAATATCATAAAGAATTCAGTGTGAAAGAAACGAAATACTTTTTTTTAAATTAAATTGAATTTATTTGCTTAATAGTGAATGTACAAATAAGAATGTAAATTGTGAATTAAGTGACCGGTTTTCATGTTCTTTATTTATATGTAATTCTAATTTATTCGACTGATTAAGATTAGTTCAGTTTAAATAAAGATATTTTAATCTCTATGATACATAAAATGGATATATGAAGGCACATGCGTTAATCCAACAAGAGTATTATAAAGATGTTGTTATAACGTGGTGTTGTTAACAAAACAAAAAAAAAGTTTAAATTAAATTTATTTGCAATAAAGTTCCACGTTGTTGCTTATAATACGCATTACGTAAAGATAAAACCTTAGGTCAAAATGAAATGTGTTGCGCTGAAATATGTCAGTAATATTAGATTGATTACTAACTCAACGTTATTGATAAAATATTGCAAAATTTATAGTTTGGGACATTTTCGTTTATAACGCAAAATGTATTTCTGCCAAAAACTTGCATTGCATTGCATTGTGACATTCGTTATTGTGTGTGGCTAGAGTATTTCTTTCTGAATGTATATTCATACTTATAGGTAGTTATAGTTATAGTTAATAAACATTATGTGTGAACCCTCAAGATTAATGTCTAAGATAAGGTGCATTTCCAAAATTGCATAAGTAAGCTTCGTGATATTAAAAACTCGTACGAATACCAACAACAAAATTTATTTAATATCGGGACACGTTTGAGTTTATGAAAAGTTGAAAAAAAGAAAAACAGAAGCTTTAATATGCATACATTTCTCACTGGGGGTTGAGATAAATTAAAACAATTTATGCATATTTTGATGAAATTTTTTTGAGTTTCTTTTATTTTATTTTTCTTTTCATAGTCTCTCGTTCTCAACATGATTTCTTTGACTCTAAAGGTCCCGTCAGAATTTTCGGTTTCAAATTGGAAGCACAAGCACGCCTGGAGGTGGGAGAAGATTTATTCTCGTAATCAAATTTTATTAAGATAGCTCCAAAAGCACTCACGCGTTTCATTGTTTCCAACGTTTTTATTTCAATGAATTAAAAAGTTTTGATATTGGAAAACGATCAGCGTAGCTCTCAAAGAGATTTTGTTAAATATTTAAATATTATTGTCTAGAAAGAAGGTTTGTTTCATGTTGCAACTTAATTATTATTTATTAAGAGTAGGTAACAAATGCTTTGACATTTAAAAAAGTCTATAAATTTTCTTGAAAATAAAACACTCTTTTGTTGAATTAAGAATTTTTTTTATTTATCTCGTGTTAGAAATCTTTTTTCACGTTTTCGTTAAAAATATAAATTACAAGCATACATATCTATGAATAAATGAATTTAGATAGATAGTTATAAATAAACCAGATTTCAATTGACTTTAGGCGATTTTAGACTTTATCTTTAATCATCTCCCTTTTCTATTCCTTTTTGTTAAGATTGAATTTATAAAAAAAATTACATAAAAGAAGGTCATTTGATCATAACTTTTAGAAATACTTACCCGATTTTATAACCACGTTCGCTCGTAAAAAAGTACGAAATAACTTACTATAGAGACTGCGAAAATGTTTGCTCATTAAATATAGAATAATAAAATAGAAATCTAAGGACAAGGGAGAATTTTTAAGGTGTAGAGCAACTTAGTAGCATTGCTTTTGAATTTTGAATACTAATTTTATTTAGATTTCCTAGATTAAGGAAACTAAAGTGGCTATTGGAGTAAGAATTTTAAATAAAACAAAAATGAGAATACGTTTTGTTCTTGAAATCTTTTGTTCTTGAAAAACATTTTCAAAAGTCTATGACAAGGAATTTTCTCCATTTTCTTTTCTTACACATATAAATACAACAACGGACTGAAAACTTTGTCATTTTAAATGAATTTTAATTATGATAAATTTGAGCAAGCATCAAAAGAAGTGATGAATGTCGCGTTGACACTTCAAATGCAAATATGAAAGTAAAAATTTTATTAAAACTTTTGTCTAATTCTTTATTTATTTTTTTATTTTCTATATTTCGAAAATAAGGTGCGTATTATATCCTATTTATATATACATATATCTTAGAATTCTTTTCATCTATGAAATATTGTAAGATTTTTTAGTATTTTATTTATTAACAAACCATAATCCTTTTTTCAACAAGAAGTATTTATGATGGATTCCCGCCAAAATTCTGACAGAAAACTTGAGGAAAATCATTCTATGCGCAAGTCTACCCCCAGATCTTATTCCATTAATTTTATCTGAGCAACTCTTCCAGTTGTCGAAGTTTTTACAAAACATTTCCTCTTCTAGTCGCAATACTCCCACAATCCACCTTCAGTCGCGATATGTTAGAAGGACTGCAAATATACAACAAGTGTTTTTATATAAACTCCCTAAGACAGAGTCAAGAAAGAAAAAAAGTTTCCACGCAATTTTTACACACTTTTTATATAATATCGTTCAGAGTGTTGTGGCAATTGAGTGCACAATAAATAACAGCGACACCAGCTGAGCTTAGCTCAATCGATGTAATCGTATTATTTCTTTTTTATTTTTACTTTATTTCGTGAGAATGGAAAATATTTCAGAAACCCCCGCAAACGAAAAAATGCCTAATATTTGCTCTACAATCGTTAAAACTATGCTTTAAAGTGCAATAAATTGCAGACAGTGTGTGATAACAAATGAGAAATTGTTAGCGAAAATTAAAAAGTTTTTATCGTGTCCATCAGTAGCATTTCGAAAGAAAAAAATATTAAAGTTGAAAAAAGCCACTTGAGATTAATTCAATTTGTGAGTGAAAAAGCAGAAAAGTATAATATTATTCAGAAATAAAGATAAATTCCTGATGTCTGTATTGTGACGTGAAACGAGAGTGAAAATCTTGTGAATCAAGTTTTATTGTTCGTAATTTGAAATGATGGATACACTGTGGATTATATTTATTGGTGTCTCTATTTTTGGTAGTTGCTCTAGTAAGTAATATTAATATATACACTACTATCATTTGAATTTAATATTGGAAATAAACATAAAGGTTTTATTCAGTGACAATTCTCAAAATGATCACAATTTTTTTAAATCATTATATAAGACATCTAATAAGAAAAAATATAAGCGAAAAAAGTTTACCCTTTAATTAAATTCTGGTTTTACAGTATTCATTGTTAGTGATACCAATTTATTTTATTTCTTTTTTAAACTTTTCTGTAGCTTAACAAATAATATTTCATCCATGGGTTGAACTAGAATGCATGAAGAAATCAGTGGGAAATCTTTTGTTTTTGAAAATTTCCCAAAGGCTTTGAGTTCACGGATGGTACATTTAAATATTGCTACTTCCCACCGAATTAAATATGTTCCCTAATTTTATAACTCAAATCATTGAATACAAAAGATGTTACAATCCTTAGAATTGTTCCACTTCAAAATAATGATGCGGGATATTTTGAACAGGTTTTTTTCTACCCATTAAAACATTCTTTATTTTTCAATTTTTATGGTTGTTATTCTATCATTAAGCAAAAATCAGGTTTAATTCATTTAAACTTAAGTTAAAGGTCCATTGAAGGAAATCGATTCTAAACACTCGCAATATTTAGCGATTGTTGAGGTATATAATCTGATTTGTCATTACATATTTATAAACTTGTAAAACTTCCAACTCTGCCTATGCTCGAGTTATGAGTATAAATTTTTCAATAATTCCACATCACAAATTTCATATTTTTTCGTGCTTTGAAAAGAATTTCAACAAGAAAAACTTTTAGTGAACACAAAGAAAACAAGTATTTCTGAAATTAAAAGTTATTCTTGGCGACATCAACCTTCATCAAGTCACAAAAAGTAATATGATAAGGACCTAGCATACACGAGTATAGTTCAAGAATATTTTAATCAAGAAATGAATGGTGGTAGATATATGTAGTAGAGACCTGGATAAAAAAAGGAAAATATATCAAATCTCAAGCAAACGCTACCTCAGAGAGAAAAAGGGAGATTAATTTACGTAATAATTAACGTTTTCAACGCCCCAAGAATGAGAGAATAGAAAGCTTAACGGAGAATAAATAATTTTTTTCATGTCTAAAATAATGCAAGACAGAATCTCATCTACATTCGAGTATAACATAACGAAGAATAAAAAAAAGACAAGAAGGAAATTTATGAGCCGCCAGAAAAATAAAAAAATCGTTTATCGTTTGATGATAAAAATATTTCCACGGAATAGAAAATGAAAATTCGAATAATAAACTTTATAGCTATAATTAGACAAATTGTAGAAAGTCACGATTTGAAGTGCCTGCCTGCTCGAGGGTGAACGAATGGTGTGTTCTTTAAGCAGTTGTTTTTATGCAATTTACGTGAATATTTCTTTATACAGGCTGAGCGACTTCAGGCGAATTGTTACTAAAACATATGAAAGAAAATTGTGCCCAATTTATATAAAAATTATCTTTTGCTGATAATGGATTTGAGTGTCAAGCTATTTTGTGGCTTCAATGCATTATTTGATATAATGTTTGTACTATCCTCCAAAAATAATACGAACGTGACTTTAATTTGTATGTTATTCATGCTTATTCTTGAAAGTTTGTAGCAATTTTTTTATTCTTAAGAATCAAAATTTATTTACAGCAAAAAGTTTTTGTTAATAGATATCTGCCACAGAAGAGTAATTGAAATTTATTTCTTTCATTTCGAAGCCTCTTAAAGTCCTTAAAAACTCTTAAAAGCTTAAATATGGCTTTCAACTTTGAGTTTCCTTCAGGTTTCTTTCAAACACAGAACATTTTCTTCCAAAATATGTCTTATATTTTGAATGAAAGTAATTCTTAGCATACAACACTGTCGTACAAACGGAAGAAGAACGTAGTTATTCAGATTAGTTTTCTGTTATAATTATAACTTGTTGAAATACTATCGCTTGAACAAGGAAAATTTAAATATCAATGAAAACAATGAAAAACTGTTTTAAATAGAACTCATACTGAACCTTTCGAAGAATAAAACAAAAGTACCTAATCCTTTTAGACCAAGACAAATCAGATGCAAACAGAGACAAATAAATGAATAATGAAAAATGTTTTAATACATAAGCATGAAATTCTACAATGATGCCATGTAATCGTGTTTACCTTTATTATTTATAACCATATTCATTCTAAATATCTGACAGTTCAACTTTCGGATTGCTGACACAATGCTTTCAATCGATTTTACAATTAACTTATGTATATGAAAGTTTCTATAAGTTTTTTCTAATCCCTACGATGTTTTGACAATAGCAGAGAATTTCGAAAAATAAAAGTGCTAAATTCTACTTCAATGATTTCTTTGTTAGAGCAATAAGACTGCAAAAATTATTTGTGTGTATCATCGACACCTTTCAATGCAAAAGTTTTCACTGTAGTTTCGTCGCTCTAACAAAAAAATATTTGAAGTAGAATTTAGATGTCGCAATTTTATTCTCGCAATTTTCTGCGATTGTCGATTTTTTAATTCTCATCCAATATTTGAAAAATTGGAAACTAAAAAGAAAAAGAACACGATTCATGGAGTTAAAATGTTCTATCGTTCATTTTGTAACCTCGCTATCTCTATCATTAGCATCAAATATTCATGTTTACCCGAGAACATGTTGTCTAAAAATAAAAGCTCACTTGTATCTTATATATCTACGTTTCTCTCAAACATGTATGTACATGAAAAGCTATAACGTCAAATTACCGTGACAACCTTTATCGTTACTTACATAAATATGTGTTATATGTTATATATATATATAAATGTTTTTCCATCAAAAAGCAATGAAAAATTATTATAAATATCTAAATTCAAATATAAATTATGCCTTACCATTTAAAGTTGGCTTACCATTTATTTGACATTTAAATTCTCTGCGCTGAGCTTTCGTCTTTCAACAAAAAGCTGTTCTCGAAATAAACCATTTTTTTTGTTGCGAATTTATTTAAGACTCAGAAAATCATGGAATAAAGTAACGTTACTGAAGAATAAGTTTCAATTTAATTTTCTCAATTTATTAGCCTAAGCAATTATTAAAGTTTTATGACAAGAAAGAAAAAAAGAGAAACATTCAAACCGATATTCGAGCCATTCAGAGCCTTGCGCAACTTTTATTTTATTCCTCCTTTCCTATGCATGTCAAAAATTAACGAAATTCTTGTTCTGACATTCAATGGCAATTATTAACAGTATTAGGATAACTATTAAAAATATATAATTTATAAAGAATTTTAAACGTAAACTTTTTAACCTTTCTGTTCGCTAAAATAAATGAAAACGTCGAAATATTCTAAATATTCTAAAATATAAACATATTATCTCTGTGGAAAGGCAATATTTGTTGTTAGAGAATGCCTTGTTATTTTCACATTTGTTACGTTTCATCAATTAAATCATCAACGTTCAAATTTATTCCAAAATATCAACTGCTTCGTTAGCATTTTAATTATGTTTCAATCTAATTTTTTATGCAAGCTTTTTAATGCATATTATATTCGTGCTTCCCTTTTATGTGTACATATATTTCTTCACGCCAAACATAAATATTTGCAAAATCCTAAATAACTGGGTTGCTTGCTTGAAATACAGCTGTATAGCGATTTTTCACCTTTTTGTTCCTTCCAGCATGTGTTGAGCTTGTTGTTCCTTTTTATGTGCAAAACAATGAACTATGAAATAGCAGCCATTTAAAAAAGAGAAAATTAATGGGTTCGAGTTTGTATTTCTATTTTATTAGCCCCACTGTGCTCTTTTTCACTTTTTTTACCTTTTCTCCAATCTTCTTTTCTTTTTTAAGCCAGTATTGTTGTGGAAATGAAACATTGAAACCTTAAAAAAATTATTACAAGCAAGAAAATAAACTTTATATCTAATAATAAAAAAAGAACTTTTGAAAAACATCCTCACCTCAAACTTGCGATACACCCTGCGAAGAGCGTACTAAACCACTCAATTTTCTGATTTAATTAAACCAAAAAAAGTCGTATAGGAAATCCTTGTAAAAGAAGAAAATAACTTATTTACACTGTTTTCTAAAGTTTGATGCAATATGTTATCTAGTTTAAATTTTTGTTTAACAAGTTTGAGTTTTGAGCAAAACAATGTGCTGTAAGTGTGAATAAAATATATATGTGTGAATAGAAATGTTATTATAAGGTAAGGGTTTGAGTGAAGGAAAAATGCGCAACACAGTCTATGCTTATCAATTTTTAAAAGTTTTACTCAACTTAGAAAATGTTTTTTCTTAAAAACATCTGAAACATCTGAATAAAATTTGCGAATCAAAGATACAATCTTGATAGCTACCCATTAAAGCGAATACAATCTAAATCTTGGTTTTCGAAAAGTAAATAAAGAATAAGCTCAAGAAGCCATGAAAATTTTTCAACAAAAAATTAATACTTGAGCAACTGTTACTCTCAAATATTTTTAGTTACGATAAATTAAAAAAAAATCGATTGAAAGATATGAAGGGACATCATCATCATCAGATCAAGGACAGGCACCTATAGGCCAATCCTGGCCTTATAGGAACCACCATCAAATGCCGAAGGCATTTGAGGGCAATGGTCATAAGTGGCACGTGAAAATGACAACATTACTCAATTTCATTGAAATTGTTTTGTGCTGACTATTCACTACCGACCGTTTTGCATCCACCCAAGGTCTTTTCTAGAAAGTAGCCTTGGGCTGTTTTTACCATCATTTGACGATAGAGTGTTTCATCTTCAACTTCGTTCCGCTAGAGATTCTAAGCCTGAATATAATCTTCATTGTTCGAATTGAATAACAATTCGAGACAAAGAGATATTTCAGCACTATTTTTCATCCCAGCGAAAACTTTGTTAAAGACAAAACTGTTTAAGGGGCGAAGTATCTAAACTTCTGAAAACCTCAGATCTACATGACCACCACCAGTCTCGAACCGGCCGCGCCGTTGGCAACGCGTTCGATACAAAACCGTGGTTTAGTCACTTAGACCAATGAAGCAAATTGCCCCCTCATGAAGGGACATATATTTAAATATTTTATTGAAATGTGATAAAATTTAATAAAAATTACAGGCCTTGAGAATTGATTTAAATGAAGGAGAAATGATTTATTACTTTTAAAAGGCTGCTTACCACGTTAAATTAAATAAACAAGAATAATTTTATTTTTCTATGCTTATGTACAAAAATATCTTGGAAGAATAAACTTTAACGTCTAAATACTCCAAGACTATAAAAACGCAAAAAACTTGTGGTGATTGATTACGTACTCCTTTGGTCTCGGATTATTGCTTTTGAAAACCAAATTAATTAATTGTGCAATTAAAATGCTTTAGCTCCATTATATAATAGAAAACGCGTAGACTTAAGAAACTGGCTAAAAGAAAATTTTTGGTTTTAAAGGATTTAGAACCTGTTTGCAAATAACTTAGTAAAAGGAAATAAATCATGTATGTAGATACACATTTATATTAGAATTAGCGGATTAAATTTAAGCACCATATGTTACATAACTCACTAGGATTTATATAAAGTTTTTGCCCTAAGTAAAGCTTAGTCTATTGCATTGTTTTTTTTTATTTCTCTAGATTTATAGATTTATAGAAAGTGTTTTTCAAAGAATAAACATCAAAGTAAAATATAACTAAAATGTGAGATTTATATTAATAAATAACCAAGCTTATGAAGAAGTAAGCAGATGAAACTCCGAAACAAAATTTAAATAAGTTTTAAGAATTTATGACACATTTTCAACTAATTTGTCTTAATATGACAATCGATAAGCTGTCACGAACTGAAACGTTATTAATGACATGACATATTGGAAGACTTCGATATTTTGTGAACAAAACGTTTATGAACGAAATGAGATGCGTATCTTGTGAATTAGTGTAACAAATTTTAGAATATAGTTGGAAGAAAATTAGAAAACATGTATTTTAAGCTCATTTAATAAGCAAATGAGCCTGTTGCTATTTAATTATTAAACGATTGTACACGTTTAATTTGAGTTTTGAAATCCCTTTCTAACAATAATGTAAACAATAAAGGTTAATATTTGTTTTTCTTTCCATTATAGATGGACAATCAGATGTAGAAGTAGAAGTCATTGCAAAAAAATATGTTGAGAGAGGATCAACTGTGACACTCATTTGTAAACATAATGTAGAACCGGAACGGTTGTACAAAGTAACATGGCTGAAGGGAAATGGAAAAGTTTTTGAATATATTAATGGACGGCAACCACCGTATCGAAATTTCACGGTACCGGGAGCTGAAATAGACGTAAGCAGAGCATATTTTTCAATAAACGACTTTATTAAATAACTTCCTTTTTATTTTTATTGAAGTTCCAGAAATCGAATCAAAATGAAGTGACACTCAAGAATCTTGACTTTGATGCATCAGGCCTATACTACTGTGAAGTATCGCTGGAGTCTCCTATTTTCACAAAAGCTTCAAACGAAGAGCAAGTTCATGTCATTCGTGAGTATCTATTTACTTTTAATAACGCTAAGTGGCATTTCACTCTTCAACTTTGTAACATTGTTGAACACACCCTCGAAGTATTAATTTTTTTCTTCTGTATAGTTCCGCAAAATGCTCCACCAACAATTGTCTTTAAGAAGCGTCAATTTTATATCGGAGAAAAGTTAATAGCAAACTGTACAACATCACGTTCAAAGCCAGTTCCACATATAGTTTGGCTGATAAATGGAAAAAAAGTAAATATTTGAAAATAAAATTTCTTGGCAGTTCTTTTGTGTTGTTGTCAAGCCTCTGTCGCGCCCCTAGATCATTGGAGCTATGGGTGGTAAAATGAAAACGTCGATGGATTGGGGTTTAGAAATCTCATTTCAATATGAATGATCAATGAACGGAAATGAACCGAAATAATGATGATAATTTTATTGACAATTAATAAAAGCTCTAGAAGCTAATAATTTACAAAAGAGTTTCACCAAAATAAACTAAAAATAAATATCTACATGAACTTACAGCACAATTCAAATCACTGCTTTTCCCTGTTTTCTCTCATACCCTCAAACAATTGAAAATTCAATCACCAGAAACCGTTCTAATATTGAAAGTGCCAAGAGAAAAAAAGTGAAAGAAATTAATTGTATTCAAAGATACCACAACGTGAAAATCGTTAAGAAGATAAGGCACAAGAAAGAGATTTCTTTTCCATCGAATTTTAATACGCCCTCATTTCAAAAGCATTTCAAACAAATATATACACAAAAGCGTTGATGATTAATTTAAAATACCTTTTTATGACAATGTAAAGATAATTAAATTTTCGTCTTATTGCGGCTGTTGCCTTGTAAATAACCTAGTAATGCCATTAAGGTTTAACAAAAAATCACCATAAATTAAATTTGTCGGTGAATAAATTTCATTCAAACTTTTCGTTTGCTTTTCTTGGGGCGAAAATGAAAACGATTCAAGGCTCACGAATCCATATTAAAAGTAAAGACTTCAATGTTAGTGTGGTCGTGCTTTTCTATGTGAATCTTAAGGTTTGATACAACCTTAAGATAGACGAAAGAATGATATTTATGGTGTTGTAATGGCGTAGACATAAAAACAACACAAAACTTTTCAAATTAAAGACGAAAACAAATAATTACTTCTGTTTTTTTATCTTAAAATTATTCTATATAAATATTGAAAGGTTGATGAAATTTATCAGAAAACCCTCCACCCTTATGGTGTCACTTCAAAGCACAGATCCAAAGCCCATCATGAGAAAAACGACTTTAATGAGCATCCTAATGAAAATGGAAAATCATCGAGAGGTAAGTGAAAGGAAATTTTTATTATCTTTTGTTCGCATTTGATATGAAAACTTATTTTTCTTTCGTTCTTTTACGCATGATGAATACCTACTTTCATCTTTCATCTTTCACATTTCTTTTCCTTTTTATTCTTTTTCAATTTCACAGACGATGAAAGCGATGATGTTGAAGTGAACAATAATCGAAATTCCCTCGATATAAGCCACCGTCACGGCTACAATTTTGAGAACAATGAAAGTACTGATTCATTTTATAAAAGTTACAATAATTTTAATAGTGAAAATAGGGAATCAAAAAATTACCTTGACAATAAAAACTACGATATTCATAAGAAGCATAGGTGAGCGTAGAATGTTTTAATGAAGAAGAGAAGTATCTTCAATTTCAAATAACTGATCCTAATTTAATTTAATTTTAACAATTTTAATGAAATTGTTCATTTTATTTAACAGAAATGGCTTAATTAACAGAAAGTATCGTCGTTTCGTAAACGACGGATCGTATCAGCAACAGCATCAGAAAACATCGAATCGACGAATGCATCCCGGAACGTATTCGATTAGCCAATTAAGTATTGAAGTATCAGAGCTTCATGCTGGTGCTAATGGTCGCTTAGAAATCACCTGTCTAAGTACAATTCCAGCAAATGTTGCCCCGGGCGAACAGTATGCTGATTACAAAACTTTTAGCGTAAAAGGTGAATGATTATTAAAAACTTGAAATTAAGAATTTATCGACTAAGATAAAATTATTTACAAAATATCTACCTTCTTTCGTATAATTTTTATTGTCAAATATGAATGATTCTTGATAAAAATCATGAAATTTTTTCCATGTTTCAACAAGTTCTGTGTATCTCTTAATTCCTAGAACCTTGAAATGTTTTCTGCACTTTATCATGTTAATACAGAAAAATTATAAATCATTTATGCAGTTTATTAACACCTAAAGTATCATTTTTTTCATTCCCAGTTGATATTGAAGCTGCTGAATTAACAACAAATCAAACACCTATGGGTGGAATGGCAGCATTAGGAAACAAATCAAATAAGATGTATTCGTTAAAGTATCCACTTGAGTTAATGATACAGTGTCTACCAATAATCATAGTCATCATGGCTTATCAGTAACTCGCAAAATGTCATTCATTGGCTTAGATTGTGAAGTTGTAAAGGCTGAAATTCTATGTTTTCAAAAGGATGACAGTAAAAAAAAGAAATAGGCAAAGTCATAATCACTGCTTTAATGTTTTTACATTATTTGTAGCAGTTATATGATTACTCAATTAAAATGCTTTCAGTTTTTCATTTTATAATCAACAAAAAATCATACATGAATATTATTTTGTGGCTTTATACATGACACAGTAATTTAACATAGAAATTATATTCTTTTTCTAGTTTCAAGAATAAATCCTATTTAAAATTTTTTCATTTTGTCAATGCCAGATTGTCCTTCTTAATAAACAATGTTCTCAAAAATTATTATTATAATTTTCCCAACCTTTTTTAAACACCTTTATGAAGAACTGTTTAAAATGTATTGAAAACGCAACAACAGTCTTTAGTTTTTTAAATTATTTACCTATTTACTTTATTAAATTTTTGCTAACGTTTCGAAAGTTTTTTGTGCTTGCGATAAGAGATACATAAACATTGAGATATAAAACAGAAAATCACATAATGTATCGAGTAGGAGCTGTGGTTTTTTGTTCTATTTGTTTTAGTGATGTTTGTGCTAAGATAGACAGTTCGGTTTCGGCGCTCTCAAACACGTGAAAATATTTTTATGAATCAAGAAGATAGAAAAAGCATTTGAAAAAAATAAAATCATAATTTATTAATATACCAAAATAAAAATGAGCTTTCAATGTTACGAACAACTCAAGATCCACATTTAAAACTGTTACTTGTCAATTTTGATGATATCTAATCAGAAACATTTTTCTCCAAAAAAAAAAAAAGCAAATCAGACAAAATAGAATAGCACATACTTATATATATAACAGTAATAAAAGTAACAACAGACTTTTTGTGTACATTACATACTAATATTATTTATATAAATACGCAAACACACATATATAATTCATGCAAAAACAATAAAACAAATAAGCGTTAATAAGCAGTCGGTGTTGAGAGAGAAAAGAAATAAAAAACAGAGAAGCATCTTACAGGCATTCATGTTTTATGAAATAATGAAATATTGCGTATGATGATGGCTGTTTATATAAAAGATGAAACAAATGTTAAAACACCATATACAATCTTGTCAAATATTAAATACAAAAATAAATGAGAGACTAAACTGTGAAAATCGTATCTAAATAACTATTAAGTTCATTATGATTAAACTAAAAATCTATCTAATTAATCCAGTTTTAAGCTTCTTTGAAGCAGTAAAGTTTCCTTAATGTGACAGCAGTAAATATTATTTTTTTAAAAGAACTCTATCGCGAAAATAAATGATTTCTTTGTAAATATTTAATTTTGAATTTAACTTTGAAACTCCTTTAGCGCTTTATTAGTAAAAAAATATTTCAAAAGGAGAAAATTAGACGTGGTTCATTCTCCATTCTATTAAAAATAGCTCACGCAACATTAAAGTTGAACTGTTCGAGAAAACATTTTCTTATGACAAAAATTTTCAAGTTATTGAAATACAAGACTATTCAAAACAATTTTGAAAAAACATCCTCACCTCAACTGAAGTGAACTCTCCAAACACTACATAAAGTGTTGAAAAACATACATTCATAAATATATGAATAAATAGAAATATTTTTTTCTGTAAGGTGAGGATGTCAGGTAAGGAAAAAAAGCTTTCGAAAATATTTACTTACTTTTTCAGTGCTTTAAGGAATCTTTACTGTTAAGTAAAATAAGCAACATAAATATGAATGAAAGACACAATCAATAGAAAACTATTAAATTCAAACAAATCAAGCACATATTTTTAGTTAAAAAATAAATACCAAATCAGGTGTTGAAAAGAACCATAAATTACAATAAGTAGAAGGTATTTGATATTTAAGATATCAAGAATATTTTTCTATCTAAAACTTTTTCTGATTTTCAACTTGCATGACCTTTTTATTTTCTGATAAAAATGCTTCTAAAGCAGAAGTTTGTCTTTGTTCTCTGAAAAATTTTGAGCTTAAGCATAAAGCATCAACCATAAATAACCAACAAAGATAAATAATGAAATATTATTTGCAAAGATATCGTTACTCGTTATTTGAATTTAGAATCAAGTGGAAATGAATATATATTTATGTAATTATTAATGAAGATCTACCGAATATTTACCTTGGAGATAAAAATTTATTATTATTATAACAAAAAGGTATGGAATAAATATTTTTAGAAGAAAGCATCATTAATGATGAAATTAAAGTATTGTAATTTTTATGATAACATACTTAATAACTAAGAACTAAATATACAAAAAAACACAATGAGTGGTGTCAATTTTGATTGTAAATTGTGCAATGGAAAGTTTTAAAAGCGATTGAGGGAAACATCACGTGTTAAAAGAATTAAATGAGATTTAGATCCACACAAATGTTACAGTCCAAATTGAAATGATTCATGTAGATATTCGACGTCTTCCTATGCTATGCTGTCTATTGAATTAAATATAAAATAACACTTTTTGAAAACTTATAGCAAAATGAAAACTAACTGTCATGAGAAATAGTTTGTAAGTTGATTCTATATTTTCGATTCGAACTTTTCTAATGGAAAGTTGATGAAACTTTAGTAAGAAATGAAATCATTTCAGGGCAAAAGTTAAGCAAGTAAAATAAAAGAACCTAAATCAGAGAAATTTCATTCAAGCTACTTTTAAATGAATAATTTTATATGTTCCCTCATGCTTAATTGAGTTCATCCGACAAGGAAGTTCTAAAATTGATAACGGATCACTGTTTTTATTTTCAAACATCCTCTTCTTTGAAATCAATAAAAAGTAAGAGAAAACGACCCATGTCACGAATAAATAAAATTATTCGACATTGAGTTTCTTTATACTTTTGATTTTAATTTTCTTTCGATATTCTTCATCTTGCTTAATCGCTATTCTTTTTACTGTTCATCTAAATTTAAATCGACATGAAATCTTCCACTTCTGCCAAAACAGAAATAAATAAAAAGATAAAATAGTAATAAAAAATAATGAAAAATAAGGTTTTTCCTATTCCCTGACTTCCTTTAAATGTTTTTACTTCTTTCGAGATGTTCTGCTAATTTAAATCCTTCAGAGAAAATTACAATTGAATCTTATGTTAACTTCTTCAAGGTAGTCACAACTCATTCCACTGATCTAGCCCAGTGTAAATTCTATTAAAAATGAAAAAAAAATAATCGAGTTGAACTCTTTAAAAACTTCATGGAATATAAATCTAGAATCTTCAAATGAGAACATAAAATAATTAAAATATGTTGAAGTGTCTCTTATAAAAGAGAAAGTACTCAAACTTACATTTTTTAGTATTCAAAAATTAATTATAAATTTATCGACATACATATTAAACATATCTAATTAACATTTAAATTAAAAATTTGTTTGTGTGAAATAAATTTAAATTTAAAATCCTAGGTATTTCGACTTTTGATTTTAATGATTATTGTTAAATCTGAACAAACAGCTTTTTCGCTCACAGAGTTTGCATACTTAGAGCGTCCACTGTAAGCTTCAAAATTTTTATTTTGATTATAAAATTTATGAGAAAATAAAAGTGGAATTAATTAATGGAAACAGCTACACATATCATGAATGTCGTCATGTGACAAAAAATATTATTAATACGTTTTATGGTGATGAATGTAAACGAGATGAAACATTATAAACTAAAGTTGTGAAATATTCATGAACGGTAATTTTTTGTGGCTAGATTGGTGGAAAAATAACGATGGAGTATAAATAATTGCTTGCATCCCTTCAAAAAATTTAACAATCTGAAATAAAAACAAAAGTACCTAATTGTCTACAAAAAACTATTTGAATGTCATACAGAAAAAGAAAAAACTTAATATTAGGTATATTTTTAATTTTGACTCATTAATATGTAGGATGAAGTTCTTTCGCAATTTATTTTTCTTACGACGCAAAAGGTTTCTTAGTCACAAATTCAAAATCGAAATGCTTCGATTATTCTTATAAATGCTACCTAAATCTCCAAGAAATCCTACAATAAGAATTCTTTTGCAATTTAAGAGAAAACGGAAAATATCTAAACTGTTGATGTTTTTTGAATCATGGTTTATATAGACCGGGAAAATTTAATAGCTTTAAAATAATTGACAGCTGCAGAAAAATCTTAAAAATTGTATTAACAATAGTAAATATCCAAAACATTCATGTTAGAACCTTTGAAAGAGGAGAAATAAATCTGAATTAAAAGTATTTAAATCAAATAACATTTTAGTATAAAATTGGTTTTATTTTCAGAATTTATAAGTAGAGTTAAATGTCAGTTCAATTCAGCTTTGTTAGCTAAAATCGTTTCATCTTATTTTTAATTGCTTTCTTCGTCACATTTGTATGTGGCGAGGAAAAATCTCAGATTTCACAAACATTTCCGTGGATAAATATCTAATGGTAATTTTATTTTGCGTAATTCAACATGTGAAAGAGTTTGAAATCACCTGCTGCTATGTTTTGTGCATTTTATGTTAATGTATTTCCTTTGTTAAAAGTACTTATGCAAAGGGAAGCGCGAAATATGATGCAAAGATTTTGGTTAACTAGATAAACTACATAAATTGTTAAATAGTATAAAGCCATTTCATACTCTTTCGTTGTATCTTGTTTGATTTATAAGTCGCAATCGAGAGTGTTCCAATTATGTCATGACAAGAAAAATTACATCATATCGAAACCAATCCGTCAGTTGAATTACTTGCAACGTAAATCGGTAATTCTGAGGGTAAATCTTTTCCTATTCCTCAAATATATAAAAAATGATAGAAACGAAAATATTTAATCTCTACTGTGGCACGCTTTACTATGATTTCACCAAAATAACATCGAAAAGAAGCTGAAAATCACTTCGAGTCCTGATAAAAGCGAAAAAAAGTTAATTTCCACCTAAATTGACTTCTCATTCAGTACTTCGTACGCAAAAGAGCAAGAAAGAATGCGAACTCAAAGCTTGATTGATTGATGATTTTTCTTTCTTTTACTCTCGAGTCGAGTAAAAGCTGCGACCTTAATGTTCATATAACGATAACCTTTCGAGGCCAGAAAAACGTGTTGAACATGATAGAAAACGAGAAAAAAGTTTTTCTTCCTCAACTTTCATCTGATTGCACAAGCTGTTTAAGTAACTAATCAGCAACATCCACACGTTCATCTAAAAAAATTATTTCCTTTGAGGGCTTTTAAACGCAATAGAACCACACATTGTTGAATTTACATAATCTGCATAAGTAAAAAGAAACGATATTCTTTTTTCATCCTCTCGCAATATTCTTTTTTGCTTTTTCTCGATAAGTAGGATAAGTAACAGAAAACTCTTGAACAGTTTCTTTACCGTGGTTCTTTTTTCTTTCACCTTCCGTCTTAACAAAATACTTTCTTTCAAAACCAGCGAAGGAGACAAAAATCCATAAATCGATTTTATTATTTTTCCATTCAGAATACGACGATGGATAAGTAGTATGTAGAATATACTATGTAGGTATATGAACTGAAGCCTTTTATTATTCCATAGATTTCTACGAATATAATAGAAGGAATGTTCAACATTGTATAATTTAATCAAAAGTGTAGGGCTCAACGAGTATCAGTAATGGAAATGATAATCAATGTTGGGGTTTAAAATTTGATGATAAGTAAAACGAAGATAGTGGTCGTTTTATTGCTTTGAATATATAAATTTCTCTTTTTAGCTTAATTTATTCAAATTTCATCTCATAATACCATAATGCATTTTAGAGGATGTACAGTGAATATTTTGGGCTAATAAGTATGTGACAGCTTTAGAACGTTTGTTGGTTTGTTAAATAGTACAAATTAGTTGGAAATCGTATAATATTAACTTTTATTTGATTTTGTTTTATGGAATAACAGAACTAGATCAAGAAGAAAGAAATATGGTGTTATTAATTTTTTAATTAACTAGTTCAACCTTTTAGGTTATAATACGCAAACTTTTAAAGTATGTAAATGAAAAAAGTTAAGTTTCTTGAAAACTATTAGTTCCTAGCATCTGTTGCCTATGTGAATAATTAATTTAGTTTATAATCATAATGTGCGCTGCTGTTGTCGACACAAACGTATATATTATATATTGATAACATGCTTTGTGCAGATTAAGCTGGAAATTATAATAACTATTATATTGTTAAGATGAGTGAGTCGAGATTACAAGATTTTGTAAGAAATGTGAAACATAAATGGTTGATTCCTTCAACTAAATAAATAAACATCTAAATTTGATTCTGAATTATAGCGAGCTGACCTTTACGACAAACGACCAAAATTTATGGACTATAATTAAGATAGATGCTAGAAATAAATATCCCTGTTGCCTGTTTTGCCTGTTACAGTGATGACTGTTTATGTTGTTTAAGCATTGAAACATTATAATTTTATTGCATGCAATAAATAAATAGAGAAAAATAGAAAATAGGTCGGTTATCGCTGATGTTGAAAACATATATACTTAATAAAAATTGCATTTGGCAATGTAAGAATTTTTTTTCTGTGTTCATGCAATTAAATTCCTTCAGAGAATTAATTCTGCAATATTCTTTGCTTACTTCTTCTAGTGATGAAAACCATTTCGTCGTGTAGGTGTGAATCAAGGAAAATCTTTTCAACAATTGATTCATTCCTTGTATAAGAATCATTTCTTCTAATTCCATATTTTCTTTTCTTTTTATAGAAAAATAAAAGGAAATGTATTGTGAAGGAAATTGAAACAACATTGCTTCAGAAGGATCCGACAAAAACATGCGCAATGTTAATTCCAATCGAAATAAAAACGTTATTGAATAGAGTGTACTTGAGAATAAATGTGGGTTGTCGAAGAATTCAACATAAATTACCTTTTTTTTCAGTTCAACAAGTATCGACTTCAAGACATATATTTGTCCATAATTCTAGAATAATAACGATGCAAGGCTTGTTGCTCTTTATCGTTGAATCATAAATATACATTCAAGAATCTTGAAAATCTTAAAAATATTTAAAGTTTTTTAAAGATTAGAAAATATAATCATGTTTCATTGTGCTTCAAAAGAAGAAAATCACTTATACTTGAGATAAACGTTGCAATCCAAATTAAATATTATCAGGTTGCTTTTATGTCTTAAAATTCTAGTTTATTGTGATTAAACTTTACTGAAACTTCCAATATAATTCACGGGCATCAGAACAATATTCTTACAGTGTTTTTTAAACACAAAATAATATTGAGAAATTTTTAAAGTTTTACGTTTATTTTTTATGATAGAAGGAAAAATTTTGCGGAATAAAGAGTAAAAGAGGGCCTTCCAATTGCTAACATTTGTTGCCATTAGTAGGACAGTTGAGAAGAAAATTGAAAAAGTTGCATGATTACTGTTAAATGGAGCTAACATATCTCACCCTCGACATTAATCTAGTGGAGAAGTGATCGTTAGAGAGTTTGAAAGGCATTAAGTGAAAGGGTATTTCATTTTAACAAAAGAATCTTAAAAAAGTAATTTAGTAAGATAAGAAGTTAAAAACTTTTGATTCTTCTTCTGGGGTTTATAATCTTTTTCCTCTAAAAAAACTAATAAAAAGATTCTAAATTGCCCCTGAAACTTAAAGAAAGACTTTTTCATTTAGAATTTTGGTAGTTCATGTGGAAAATTGCATGATAAACTTAGTTGTACAGCTAGAGCTTTTCATTTAATCTTATTATAACAGCATAACAATTTGAAGTTCTCTCCCTTTCCTTATCTTCATGTCTTTATTCAATGAAATTTGACGTTCATAAACTACGGAAACTTTCTGAGCGCAGCTCATTTAATGTTTGTTTGTTCTTTTTGTCGAATACATATTTCATGCTTCAAATAAATGTCAGTTAAATGAGAGATTCGCTTTCCTTTTTCTCGGCAACATCTGTGAGAGGATAAACAATAAAACTGCCATTACGGAAGCAGCAGAAACAGCATGTCTCTAAGGGGGCTGAGAAATCATTTCTGTGCCATATTTTTATTTCAAGACTAACAAAGAACAAGAATATATAATGTAAAGAAAACTATAAAACACGTGAATGAAATAAAAACTCAAAAAATAAAATTGATGAGAAAGAACTCGTTGCTACCTAATTTCTATGCCTTTATTTTGAAATTAAGTCATAACTTAAGTCGTTTTAAAAATCTTCATCAGCATTGCATTTTTTCAATTAAGGCGAATGTTATGGGCTTACTTGAGAGATGTTTAGAAAGTAAAGCCATGTTAAAGCTCCAAATGGTAAATTGTGTCAGCAGAAAAGTATAAACGAAGATGAAATCCCTTGCTTCTTCTGTTACAAACATGTAAGATTGTGTGAGGATGGATGGAAAAATAGCCAATAGACCATGTCAATAAAAGGGAAAGAAAACAGAAATAGATACAAAAGGATTGTGTAAAGTAATACCGATGTAATCCACAGGATTTCTCAACTCACATTTCCACATACACAGAACATAAACGGCACATAACTCGAGAATAAATCTTGAAGGAAGCAAGGAGTTTATTTGAATGTTTTCACATGGTTCTCTGTGGTCTCGCTTCATTATTTTTCTTATTTTATTTTCGACTCCTAGATAAAAGCGAAAGATATGTGCAGACTACTAAATAAAATCTTCCATGTTGTTGTCGTCTGAAACTCGGAGTAAGAGGGAATAAGTTTGGCACGTTGCCAAGATTTATCAACCGTGTCGTCTGACTTTCAAATCTACAACCACAGTGAATTAAAGAATCGTTGTGTGAAAAAAATACGCCTCGTTCACTTTAACGTTAAGTACAAAATCGTTTTTAATATTAATCTGTAATTACTTGGTATAATAGGTTTAAACGGCTACATTTTTACACACATACTTTTAAAAACTAATTTGCCTAAACGTTAACATTATGAATAACGACGATAATTAGAAAGTTTAAATTTCCTTGTTTCACCATTTCACATTATTTTTGAGCGTCTTTCAATGCTCCAGAGGATATAAAACGGCTTAAAAGATTTATGGTAGCATTACGGTCCATAAATTATAAATTAAGATGATTTTTTCCCTCTCTCAAAGCTGTTTTTATCATTTTATCAACATTTTGCGAGTAGAAAGGAAAGAATTTTTTATTCTATATAAACGAGATGCTGCACCATGATGTCTGGAGTACTAAGGAAAATTTATTTTTCTGAAGGTCTTAGAAAGCATTGAAAATAATAACAAAAAAAGAACAAAATTAACTCAATCAAGTAATTTTCTTCTTCATGATTATTATTATTATGAGAATTTTATTGCTTGAAATTCTCTTGAGATATGCAAAAACTTTTCGCTCAATACGAATGCGTCAAGAATTCGAAATAGATTAGGAAAAAATTGTATTACTTTTCGTTCTTCTTAATGTTACTTACACACTTTATGGGATTACTCTAGCAGTAAGGACAAAGTTATTGTCAGATTGTACATTATGTAATCTTATCTTTAATGAGGATTATTTACAAGTCTTGTAGTATGATATTTGTGTAGATTTCAATTGAATGACTTCAAAAATAGAATACAAATTGGTTTTTATTAAGACATCGTCGTCTAAGTTTTTCACACGATAAACTTTGCAAAATAAAAAATTATCAATAACATTTAAAAATGTAATCTCAGTTTTACGCCTACACAAAATTACTTTTTAGTTAAATCTTTACTTCAAATATTTTTATGACCATAAATTTTGCAAAAAATACAAGACAACTTACAAAGCTTTCAACAGGATTCAATGGATTCTCGACAATTCTAATTAGCATTTAAGAATTCTTCCGATCGTAAAATCCGGAAATAAAAATGAGAAGATTCCAAACTTCCATGAATTACTGCAATGATGAGGTTATCTTTGGTGAAAAATTTATCTTCTTTCTTGTTATTCATTTCATCATAAAAAATTCTTGAAGGAGTCTTGATTCAATATATGCATGTACAGTGGACTTTCTTTATAAGAATTCTCCTTATAAGTAAAAAGTTCTTTATAAGCCACACACTCATATTAAGAAGTAATGTTAAAAAAAGTTCTTTATAGGTGACTCCCTTCAGAAAAGAAAGTTTACTGTATACATAAGACTTTAAATCCTTCCTGAAAAAAAAAGAGAGTTTAAATTTAAAATTATTCATCCGAATTTGAGTAAGACAATCTCTTAGTAAAATCTTTTCTCTTTAAATAAGTCATGGCTCTTTGGACCCTAAAATACATAAACATGAATATTCATTGTTTCATTTTGTGACTTTTGGTTTTCTCAATCTTTTAGGTAAATAAAGCTGAATGATAGACAGATTTTTATGAGGTGCTATGTTTAATACATAGTTTCATGTACAGAATAATAATTTGAATCTTATTTTATATAAAGGATCAAATTTAGTAGCAACATCGATAAATGAAATTAAAAAATAATGGTAAATGACAACTATGTATGTAGATATGTAAGTAAGTTAGAGTTTTTCAGACTTTAAGAAGAAAAATTGTTTTTTTTCATATCTACCGACTAATTTTAAAACAAATTAAAAAACTTTGTCAGATAACATAAAAATAGTCAATAATAGAAATGCTTCAGATTTTAGAAGTACAAAGAAAACAAACTTGAGGTACAAATTTATCGTTAAAGAACAAATGTTACATAAAATAAATCAACCTATGTTATCTCCTTTATAGGCAAGAGAAAAAAAAATCAAGATTTTTTACGGAGGTCCCTTACTATCTAATTCATTTTATTTTTCTTTTCAGTTTGTATAATGTATATGCATTGCTTATATCAGATTCACGTTCAGCAAATATAAGTTAGTAAATAACTGGTTGTCAAATATTTATCCACAAACGAAACGAATTGAATTTTCTCGCTTCTTCGATTTTAGTTCACTGTTTAACTTTTATTTTTTGTACATTATTTTATAAGATATTTCTGTTCTTTTTTATATTTAATTCTATTAAAAGAAAGAGTAAATTTTTGTTTAAGAATGAAAAGTTGGATTGTTTTGCTTATTTTCATTTCTCGTGGTCATGGAAGCCTGTTGAGTGGATTTGAAGGGAAAAGAAAAGTAAAGGTCAGCGTAATATCGCATTGATTCATGAAACTTTTATGATGTGTCATTTCAGGAAAAAAATTTCAATGCTTTATTAGGTAATGTGGTTTGTGACTACCGTTCTACTGCAAAGAATATTGAGGAAATTCAAGGAAAGAAACTTGACGAGATGGTGAAAATACTCCACAGCTTCTCAATTCAAATGAGTAGTTCAATTCTTGATACTGAATATATTGAAATGAAATCTTCTATTGACTGTGGTGAAACTTTTCAGTTGTGTTATTCTTTGAAATCATATCTCAAAAGATGCAGTTATCGAATTCTTCATTTAGGAGAAGCGGTTAAAACCATTACTAATTATTTCCAAATTGCAATCAAGAAATGTGAATTTGTGGTCAAAAAGCAACGTTGTAAGAAGTTAATTGTAAGTTGATTCATGATCCTTAAAATTAAAATCAAAGTTTAATTCTTTAATTTATGTATGGCCAGTAAAAACTTAATCAATATATATCGTTAATTATTTTAGGAAAACTTAGCAACGCTTAAAATTAATGTCTACAGAAATCGATTAAAAATTTTTGAACAAAACTTTATGAAACAAGCCACGAAATTTAATTCATGTTTTTGAATTACACGATTTGAATCATGTTTATATAACGGAAGGGTGAACTAAGGAAACATTTGTGAGGAATTTTTATGAAATATCTATTTTTATAAATTATTATGCCCAGAAAAAGTGGACTTATTACCATAAAGAGAGAAAAATGTGATTAGTTGATGCATATGAGTAAAATTAAGTAGAAAAAATCTGAAATTTTACTCCGCAGTTTTTTTCTGTTAAATGATATTTCGCGATGATTCAGCATAACAGTAATTAAGTGGTCAAATAATATATTTTATTTAAGTTTTCTTTCACAGAAAAATCTCCATCTCTGTATTTAAAATAAAATTTGTTTTCAACCTATCCAGTTTAAAAACATATGCATTATTTTACTGTGAAATATTAAAGCCTTTAAGAATGTTTTCTAAGTAAAAAAATGAGATTCATGATAGTATAAAATGATCGGTAATAAGAAAAATTATGGCTTTTGATTTATTTATATTGATTGAATGCCTCTGATATTATCGTCAAATTGCACACAACATCATCAGATAGGGAGAAGAGAAAGTTCTTCTTTCCTACTACATGCGACCGGGAAATATAAGACTTTCCGTTCGTTGCAGAAGACGTCCCGTTTCACCCCAATAATTCATCAATTGACTTGTTTCGAGCCAAAATATCTGAATTTCACCTATGATTACAAACTTAATTATTTCTTAAAAGTTAATTGAAGTGATAAAATCATGAGAAGCGAGTGAGACGATCATGAAAACTTTGTTTTTTAAAAAGCACGTAAAATAAACACGACAAGAAAAGATAATCAAGGTATAAAATATATCCTGATAATAAGTAGGTATGTTGGTAATTAGATATCTTTTATTTAAAATAAATTTTAAAATTAGCGAAAAATTTGATTTCCGTGAAGGTTCCTGCAAAATTCAATAACACTAAATGTAATCAATAGTCGTCTTTCAAGAGCTGCAAAATGACTTTCAGTTAAAATTGGATAAAGGAGATCATTTTTAGTTAATTGTTTAAGGATTTCCGTTAACGATCCACCGGTGAAAACCAACAATCGGCTATAAGTCGTTTTTCGGATACTAAAATAAAAAAATTAATGAGTGAATTTGGAAACTACTGTCTACCTAGATAATTTTTTTTATAATTACATGCAACACTGGTACAAAGGCGCTAAAATATCAATGAAATCATCATATGGGTTTCCGAAACCTTTCCCGTTGTCAATCAGAACAACTCGATTCATCCTTGTTTCATAGTGATGACGATCACCATTTTGAATTAAGAAATCGAAAATAGCCGCATCAATAAGGTCCAGAATTCGAGAATTTGATAATTTTTCTTTTACTAAGTTACAATAATTATCTTCACTTTTCTTTTGCCATAATGCTTTTTTTCCCTCCTTATATGTTCGTTGCCAAGGAGATTTTTGTTTAACCAGCGGTCCTGGAATTTTAAACAAAATTACTCCCTCAATGAAATGGGTTCTGTTTCCACAAACAACTTCAGATTTCTTGCAATAGTAGCATTTCCCGTACAAACAAAGTCTGGACTCATTTTCTATAAATATTTAAAAATATCAAATGTTATATTTTCCTTTATACCTTTTTCTTACTCTTAACTAGCATCGATTCTTGAAGTTCTTTGTCGCCAACCGTCCAAACATCCTTCAAATTTATGGAACGTCCAACAGCGATAGGCGTCCATCGAATATCGAGCAAAGCCCCCAAATAAAAAGCAATAATTTCTGAATTGTGTCGATCTTTTCCTGAATATATTGGACCTTCGATAATTTGATGCCTATCATACCAAGCTGGTTTAAAGAAAACTGTTTGATTGCCCTCTATTAGTAAATCAAGCTTAAGTTGTGTTCCACGGTGAGAATTTGTGGCTGCTATAATAGTTACATTTTCTAAGGCTTTCAATGCCTGGCACATTGACTGATCATACTGCCCATAAATTTCGTTATTGTTAACCCACTTTAATAAATAAAAATATTTGTGCTATTGCTTTAGTAATTATTTTAAGATTGATTTAATCTCACCGAATTTACTTCCTCCCATAGCTCGCTGTAGTTTCTTTCTTTTGCATCACATGGTATGAAATTTTTTAAAATCTTGCTTTTAATTCGGTCATATTTCGGATTTTTATTTTTGTAAATTGTTTTGATATTTGATTTGTCGAAAAGATTTTCAGGTAGCGAGAAATCGGGTTCTATGACGTTATCAGTATCTACTTTTATTTGATAACCTTTGTTAATTGTGCTACTTAGTCGTGACAAAAAATAAAAATTTGCTGAGTAAATCAGAATGAAAAGCGAAATTAAAATTACGAAAACACAGAAATACTTTCTCATCTTCCAAATAAAGTCATTTTGCACTGAAAGCAATGGCAGTGTTAGACGACTCCACTTTTTTAAGATTGCAAATTTGTTTACTATTTCATTTCATTAAAAGAATGTTTTGAAAAAGAGAAATGATAAAAAAATTGGAAGGCAAACAAGTCTTGTTGAAGTAAGCCGCTGCAAACTTTTCAAAAATCAAAGTTTCGTTAAAATAAAAAGTAGAATAACTATCAATATAAAGTAAAAATAAAAAAAAAAGAAATTAAGCATTTAGATATTTTGATAAATGAAACAGTTTTTTATTTATTTTATTTAGAGCATCTATCTTGAAAATAGAAAAGTTTGAAACCTCTCGCAACTGCTGATTTATCAGTCCTAAAGGGGATGACAATGGGTCCATTTATTATACTTTGAACTGGAGCGTTCTCATTAAAGTTTCCTGATACACTTCCATCATTAAATTTTGAACCACATAATCTGATAAAATTCATTGCTATGTAATCGTCATTACAACTTAAAGTACAAGTTTAATTCTTTTATTCCAAGATTGATTTCTATGTATCGAAAATTATGTTACCTAAATATCTCGGCTCCTGCATTCCCTTCACCTGAAAGTATATTTCCATTTTCATCAAGATTTCTTAACTCAAAAAGATCTTCCTTTCCTTTCAGCTCGTTTGTATAAATAATCTTGCAATGACCAACTGCCCTTTTAATACATATTGAATAATTCAAGTTATTCTGTAAATTAAGAAATGAGAGCTGTAACGACTTCTACTGTTTTGAAAATGAAAGGCACAGTTATAGATATTTTCAGCGGCAACATCAAAACAAACGCTGATCGAGCGAAATATTTCGATTGTGTATAGAACTGGTGTATTGAAAAAATGTTTAATAAATAAAAAGAGGAATAAATAAAACAAAGATTTCTTCTAGTGAAATGTGTCGAAGAGAAAGATCCTGTTAAATTTATAAATATTGTTATAAATACTCACAAAGTAACTTGGACGTCGAAGCAATTGAATCCGTGAGTGGTCATCATAATTAAAAGATTTTATTATACCGTTTTTGTTTGTATGATATTGAAGGCATCCCTGTGGTGCTAGATTATTTTTAAGCTGTGTTATTTTAATACTAAATGCTCTATCAGCTTTTGTCTGTGTCAAAACATTAAATAAAATTCTCTCTGAATCTTCAACGTCAATAAATACTAAAAACAATTGACCACTTTATTTCATTGAAAAAAAAAACCAAAAAAAATTCTTACTATGTTGACCAGTTGCTAATCCACAAATCTCAGGAATAATGTTGTTTGTTGCTTGACCTAATACAACAAATCTATCTTCAAGACAGTTACCATCTATTGGTGGCAAAAGTTCAAAAAACAAAAACTCAACAAGAACTTGCTTTACGTTCCTTGCAACAAGAAGTGTTAAAGTGCAGGTTCCAAGGTTTGCTCTTGATCCTAATGGAAAATTTGGGCTCTCAAAATATGTTACATTCTGTTGAGTCACTGAGTTACACCCGCCCTTAACTTAAATTTTTTTTTTAAATTTAATAAAAAAAATCAGTAATAATGAAACTCACAAACACAGCAAACACCAAAATCATTTGCACAACGATCGATTATGATTCCTCCTAAATTTAAACAATTTGCCTCGCTATAACATGTTCCACTAAATTGTCTCAATGGCTTTTTCGCTGTAAGACAAGGAATATTCTCAAACTGAATTAAAGTGAACAGATTCAAAAATCTCCCAAGTGTTGTGAGATGTGGAGTAAGTTCAGATTCGGGTTGTGACTTATCTTTGCTAAACTTAATAAGTTTCTTTAGTTTTTCAGCTAAAAACCCAAGAGCATATTCAACTCTATGATTAGGTCTCATTATATGATTTTTACTCTCGTCTGTGAACTCTTCAATTTGCTCAAATGTGAAACTATTTGCGTTTTCAAAATTTTGAGACGATGTAACTACATTTGATTCACTTTGTACTAAGATTTCACTTTCAACACTACTCGACAAAAGTTCTTCATTAGTTGTTTTGGTCTCATTATCATTCATGTTAGGAGCTGTGCTTTGTAATGACAGTAATTCATCTTCATTGCTATGCTTTTTGATGGGGTTTTCTGATGGCGAATAACGCAAACCATAAACATCTTTGTAATTAAGATATTTTTCAATTCCTTGGCCAGTTGTGTTGTATAAAAACCTGTTATTATTATCGATGTCATTAAATTTAGTAAACAATTTCACACTTTTAATTAGTTTTTCGGAACCTCCAGTACTGTAAATAAAGATATGATGAGTCAAAATCATTAAAATGAACTTCATATTATTATAACTTTTTTGTTTAACATCTCAACAAAGACTGAAGAATTTTTTTTTTACAAAACATAGAAACAAGTATTTTCCAGATAATGATTTCAAGTTTTTATAATTGTGCGCAATAATCAGCGATGCTTGCTAATCATCATTTTCCTACGTTGTATTTTGACAATTTTTTTATTTTTTTCTTTATGAATAAAAATGTGAATCGAATCATTTTTTATAGAGCATTGTCTAAGAGCATGCAAAAGCGACCGTAAGTAAATGGATTCTTATATTTAGTTTCGTCAGATAATAAAATTTCGTCACTTATGAAAAAAATGGGAAGCTCACACAACTTTTAGATCATTAACGATTAATGCACGAAAATAAATTATATTTACATGTGTTGTCTAATTATAACCAATTTCACACAGTTTATTTAACAATGGGATCGGAACAATCACAACATCAAGCAGCCCAAATTTCTGCAGTGAACGCAATAACATGTTCAAATCAACGACCTGCGTTAGCAGATGCTTCACGGCTTCAACGTGGATATACAATTGCAGACTCAACAAACGACAGTTTAAATAGTAGTCCGTTGGTAGATAAAAGTCCACCTCCGCTTGATTCACGCCCTGTTTCACCTCCAATGAGCGTGTGTTCTGATTCGGATTTGCCACCTTACATATCATATACAAATAAACCAATCGGAGGTGAATTAAAACTTTCATTTACTATAACATTTTTACCCACAATTCCTTTAACAGATTCGCCAAAGCTTCGTAATAAAGGCCAAAAAATTAATAAAGTTCGACCAGCTGTGAATCTCCGACGTCAATCTACATCACCTGGCGTAACAAAAAGAATTACTTCAGCATCAAGTACATTGATAGTAGTAAACAAAGGCACACTAAGTAAGGAAGTTGCAATTGAAAAAGATCCCGACATTCTTCGTCTTCAGGTAATTAATTAAAAGCTTCATTTTATTTATATCAGATAAGTACATTTTTGGTTAGGAAAACATCAAATTACATTAAAAAATTCATAGATTTAATGCTCAACGCAATCATATGTCAGGTAAACCAACGCCGACACGTTGACGTGCTGCAAATTCTCGTACACTGAGCGGTTTTTGTTGTTGTACAAGTACATTGTATTCAGGGTCATTATGAAAAATGTTTGACTTGAGATTGACGTGATGACGTTGTCGTGCTTCGTTTATTGAATCTGTTCGAGACAACGACGCATTGACTGGTGGACGACCAGATGATACTATAGGCGAATCTATTCCACTTGAATATCCATTCTGTAGAAGTTTCTCATAATGGTTTTGATTCTGTGGCGAAATTTGATGGTCCGGTGGTGAAATCTTCGATGAACGATGAACATCCATTTCACTTTCATATCCGCCATTTCTTGACAACCGACGAGTTACTGTTGGTCGTTCTCTATAATAAGAATCGTGATCATCATCATCATAGCGATTCATCAATCTGTGGCGACCAGGCGATGTCAGTAATCGAGATTTTGAACCTCCTCGATAATCGAAAAATTCTTCATCGGACAATTCAGGTGAATAGTCTCGTCTTCGGCTCACGCGTGGTGGCATGTTTTCGGGTTTCCGGTATTTCGACCTTCGGCTGCTCAAACTTGGCTCACAATTTCGATCGAAATAAACTTCATCGTCAAAATCCAAATAATCCGAAGTAAAGCGACGTGGGTGTGATCGAGTTGATCGTTGTGGTGTTGAATGATATCGCATTGGTGGTCGACGATCTTCTATGACGAGATTTTTTTCTCGATAAAAGTGATCTTCATCATCAGAATCACTAAAACTGTCCATACATTGCTGTTTTTTCCTTCGTAGACCTTCATTGGATTGATTAGTATTGTTATTCTTTTGTTGAATCTCAGAATTTAGTTTTAAATTTTGGAATTGCTGTTGTGTTAAATCTTGCTCATTTTCAAAGCCTTTTTCTCGCTTGTCATTTTGCAATTCAATTTCTTCTAAATTGATTTTCTGATTTTTCTCTACTTCTGACACTATAATAGGAATTGTTTTGTTTTCAATAACAGACGAATCCGTTTTTCTCACTACTGGTTGTTCGATGACCGATTGAACATCTTCATCACGTTGTTGATTGTCAGTGTCGACAAAATCATAAAATTCTATTCGAGACTTGAGTGTTTGAAGTTTCTTTTCTCTTGTGGGATCATTTGAACGACTATAGACACTTTCATTGTCCGTTCCAATGTCAGCCATATCATAAAATTCAATTTTTGATTGATTTTGTTGCGATTTTCGTCTTTTTGATTCTTCTGTGTCTGTTGATGCTTGCGAATGACTCATTAAAGATGCAGTTGACATACTTCGATTTCTCATTCGATTTCTAGCAGATACGAATTCTTCTGAATTTGTTTCATTTGGCCAATAAAAATTTGTTCGTTGACGATTCGGCCCATTGGAATGTTTCGTCATCATCTGATCAGTTAATCCACTGAAAAATTTCCTGGACATTCCTTTTTTTCGTATTACTTTAAATATTCTTCACTGTGATACTTCAAAAGTCTTTCCTTCTCTATGTCTAAACTCGTTAGCATCTAAAACTAAACTGAAAAGCTACTCACGATTTTTGAAACATTTCAAAAGAAAAAAAACATTTCAGCACAACGAAGAGAAGTAAACTTGTTTTTTCCTTTTTAGTTTCATGTGGAAATTAATAAATTCACATTGAAAGGGTAACACAAGTTTTAAAATCATCAAAATTCATTGAATTATTGTAATTTCATTGTCACCCTATGTTAAACTACTCCCACGAATTTTCAAATGAATGAACGGAGAATTCTTGCAGATTTTTAATAAATTTTTTTTTCTTCTCGTTTGTTTTCATTTTCGATTTAAAGCTTATATTTTTGTATTTAGTTCAACGTAAACTTATAATTGCGAGCCCGACTACGTTGACCTTCAAAATGTGTATTTCTTTGTCTACACCCACGCAATTTCATTACATACCTTACCAAATGTAACTTTTTTTTATATATTTTATGTTTATGATCAAATGGAAGACTAAACTTAAGTCACAAATCACTTTTTTTTTGTGAAAACTTCCAATATGATAAGAATAATGGGACATTGACATTTATATTTGTTTGTAGAGCATTCCAATGTTCCTTCCTGTGATGCGTGGAACTTTATCACTTCCAGCGATGCGTGATCCAGAAGTTTTAGAACGTCTTCAACCGAATCATGTTTTGAACATGTGCACAAGGTTGCAGGTGAATAATACTTCAATAAATTACAGTTTTTAAGATTTTTTCTATTTTTTGAATTTTCTAAATATTAATAGTGTCATTATAACTTGAGTGCGACTAAAATCGCTCAAGATCAAAACGTGATTAACACAAAAATCAAAGAAGTTGATCAAGACATTGCAAAACTTTTAGTGAAAATGACTGAACGACAGAAACAATGTGCAACATATGCTGAAGCTTTTTCACGTGTCCGTCAAATATCACAACAGTTAAGTCGTTGCAACACTCTGTTGAATCAAAATATTGAGCTTATGGAGTCGTTAAACAATGAACTGGACGTGGATGAGCGTTTGGAACCATTTGTTTGGACAACAAACTAATTATAGCATGACGCTACTCATTCTTCATTTTTGTCTTTTCGTAATTATTCTGTTATTTTCAAATGGTAGATATCTATTTAAATTGCAAATCGCTAAAAGCTTAAATAAAACTTAAATTTTTGCAATCCATATGTGGATATATTACTAATATAATAGTTTTTTACTGTTGAAAGATTTGAGAATTGACTTTTTCATTGTAAACTATTTTTTCAAAAAAGCCAAGTTATGATGTAGAATTAAAAATGTCATGATCAGGAGAATAAGCAAATTAAAAAAGGATATGAAAAGGCAAAAAAATATAAAAAAAAACTTCTGATAATTGATGTTTTCGTGAAACTTTATTGAATTTATCAACTAAGAGCTGCTTGAAAGTTTTTTAATAACCTTTTTTGTTGTTTCAATGATTTAGTGATTCAAATAAAAAAATCTTTAAATTGCGGTTTTATTTTTTTTGTTCTATTGCAAAGATCGTTCTAAGTATTCTTTCTTCGAGTCGTCAATAAAATGTCATATTAAACTACGAAAAATATAGACTTGGGATAAAGAAACAAATTTATAGAACAAGCAGAAATATTTTGCGTGGTCTGAAAATTGGCGTAACCAAAATTGTAAAATAAAATTTTCCATAAATTGTTGAATTTTCGAATGTTTATACTACATTTTGAAATGTTTTTGAAATTCTTAGATATTTGAATATTGAATATGTATGAGCAGGAGCAGATTTTTTTGTCATTTTTTATTTTCCTTAAAGTACTTTATCTTTGCAATTGAAATTAAATTCATGTTTTGAAGAAATTAACTAAAAATATTATTTTCAAACTAAATATCTACTAAATATCTAACAACTATGTATTTATTTAATTCAAGAAACCATAAAATAACGTGAAATATGCAGAAAAAAGCAACAAAGCTTGCATAATTCTCTTCATCCAAATGATTTTTTGAAGCGTTTTTCGTGCTGCTGGTAAACTGCTGATATCATCTTTGAGTACATAAGTTCGAATTCCCATCATATAATTCTCCATGTACTCGTCCCAATCCATCTTACTCATATCGCAATTGAATTCCTGATGATCAATCTGCGTTTCACGAGCTGCACGAATTATTCGTTGTAAATTTTGATTGTCAAAATTCCATTCATGCATTGCAAAGTATGTGCCAGTGTCTGCAGCGAGCTTGAACCGTTTAGCAATCTTCATCATAAAAGGCTTCTTGCCTTGCATTCGAAGTACAAGATCAAAGATAATAGCCGGAAGAAAATGTAAGAAAATTTCGTATAAAGCGTGAGTAAAACGATTTGTTCTATAAGAATAACTTGGATACAATTTCACATGTTTTGTCGGATTCTTTCTTGAATATTTCATAATTTTATCTGCAAGTTCCGACCACTTTAATGGATTTATCTGTCCTGAAGTGCAATTATATACAGGAATTGTGTTTGTTTTTATAAAACTGTTAGCCCATGCTGCAGTGATGAGGGTATTGCAAACAACGTCAACAGGTATTAAATCAACTGTGTAATGGTCGATACCTCGAATGCTGCTGATTGTCCCACGTCCAATTTCCATAAGAATGCCTATAAACAAAGGAATTATCTAACATTTCTCTTATTTCTTTGATTAAAACAAAATAACCTGTGATTCCATAAACATTGTCGATCCAACCAGGAAAAGGTTCATTTATGGAAGCTGTGACAATTGATGGTCGCACTATTGAAATTGGAAGTTTTTCATAATATTCGAGAACGATCTGTTCGGCCATTTGTTTGGTTAATGTGTAAGTGTTAGGATGTTGTTTCTGAAAACGATCACCAATCTTTTCTATGAATTCATCAGGCAATATGCCAACACCGTTAATAAACATCTTATGATCTTCCGTCGATGTTGTTCCGTAAACACGTTCGCTGACATTGCGCAAGTATGGATTGCTGTATGCTGTACTTACATGTACCAAACTCTTTTAAAAACGAAACATGTTACATATTTGATTACTATTATCAATGGAATAAAATTCAGAAGTTAGGTAAATCATACCTTCAGATTTTTCATTTTAGTGCACAATTGCATTACTCTCTGTGTTCCGAAAGTGTTGAGATTTGCTGCACCTTTCAAAGGTTCATTAAAACGAACAGTAGCTGCGACATGAAAAACTATATCAATTTTGCTTTGAAGAGTTTTGAAATCTGCTTCGTTTAATCCAACATCATTATCATTTATGTCGCCAGGTATACAAACAAGCTTCTTAAAAACTTCTGGTGTTTTCTCGCGAATTTTTTCAAATATATTATTTTTTAAAAACTCTTCAAATCGTTGTTTACTTTCAAGACCCCTCTTTGGACGTAAAAGTATATAAATTCGTTCAATCCCATCACATGATCGAAGTAATTTCTCAATTAAAACTTTTCCAAGAAATCCTGTGGCTCCAGTGACGAAAATATTTGTGTTATCAAAATATTCCTTGATGTATCTTGATTTCATCAAAGATTTCGACGAAAAATCATCAAAGTTATTGTTTTCATCAAGTTCCATTGACGATTTTTCCATAATGTATTTGCCTAAATCAACTTCCATTTTTGTCTTTTTAGTTATTTAATTTCTTTTAACGATTTTGTCGTGTAAAAACAATAAAAGAAAATAATATTTTATCTCATTATTTTATTAAGCGCGTTTTTGATCAAGTTTCAAACTTTGTACCTCTCTTATGATGTAACTTTCACTTACGGAAATACCACAACACTGTTGTGTCATGAAAATATATTTACGATTAAAATTTGCTAATGAATATGTGATTATGTAATTTTTTTTTGTGACCTTATTTTACATTTAATTATTTTTCTAAAAAGTTTTTCTTATAATAATTTACAGATTTTTTTTTCACTTAAATATTTTCTTAACTTTTCAGGTCTTCCACATCTTGATTGAACAAAGACCAAACTCTTACTGACTTTTGAAATAAACGCAATCTTTAAACTGCATTCAAAATTTTAGCGGTCTGAGGAAAAGTAGGAAAAGCTGAAAATTTAGTCATATCGAAATCCAAGCAAGATGTGTGTTGAGCTTGCCAGGGATTGCAAATTAATGAAAAAATTGTCTATTCTCTATTTTAATTATTTTTCGAATTGTGTACCTACATGTTCAAACCGCTGAAAAAATGTTATGGGGAGAAATTACAACGTTAGAAAATACATTTTCTCCATCTCTTTTTCTTGCAAGCAATGTATTACATGACAACGCAAATTTAATTGCGGGATTTATAACTGGTTTAAGGTTGTTTTACTTACATAAAAGAATAATTTGTCCCACTTTTATGTTTACGCTACAAGGTTAGTTGTTAACGTATTATATTGAAAGTTTTATTATATTAAACCAAATTTTAAATAATTTTTATCAGAATATTATGTTGCTTTCTTTAGTTATTGATTCATTCACGTCATTCTATTTAGTAAGCAATTTCATTTGCTTTTCCAAATTATCCTGTAAATTCACAAAACTTATCGATTGATTCTGTTTTTCTAAATCTTCCTTTAAGGATTCTAAAGCTTTTATCGAAGTATAATCTAAATATGAGACTTTTTCACAATCTAATGTGATGGGAAATTTAAAGTTTGTTAAGATTAAAGCTCGATTAATTTTTTCTCTTATATAATCAACACCAGGGAAGTCAATTCCGGATGAAGGTCTAACAAAAATTACTCGTTGGTCATTAATCTGAGAAATGAACAAAAATTAAAGTTTTTAAATATTGTAATTTGAAAAGATGCACAATGATGAATCTTACATGATCAATGTAAATTGATGTTTCTGGACGAGCAGATTTCAAAAATACATGAAGGGTACTTAAAGCAACTCCAAAAAGTAAGCCGATTTCTATGCTTACCGTCACGCAAACGATAATGCAGCCGAACCATGATGCGAAGTCAATTTTGTTTGTTTTCCAGAATCTGATTGCTATTTTAAAATCAATCTGGGAGAAAAACAAATCAGTTTTCATAGAAAACAAATAAGGTAATAAAAAAGATTAAAAAGAAGCGAAACAAAAAGGAGGAATACTTGCAGCCTTTCTGAATCGCTTTTGTGTACAAGTGTGCACTCTCTACTATGATAATGAAATAAGGTTATTTACTTACCAAAGATGAAACTGCACAAATAAGAATCGCAGCTAAAGAAGTTTTTGGAATGTAGCCAAAGTAAGGTGTCAATAGAGTTAATGCTAATAAAGTCATAGTTGCGCTGTAAATTCCTGCAAATGTAGTTTGAACTCCGCTTGCATTTGAAACTGCTGAGCGTGTAAAAGCACCGCATGTTGGAATTGCTTTGAAGAATGAACCGAAAATGTTTGCCAGACCTAAAGCCATCATTTCTTGGGATGCATCAACAATCTTACCAGAAGCTAAAGGGAGGAAGTAAAACTTAAATTCATATAATCTACGAATGGATTTTCACGGTAACTCACTGAAAGCTTTAGCTATGGCAACGTTTGCTAATACAGACACCAGAGGTAGTAAAAGCAAACCAGATCCAATTTCACCACAAATTTCAATAAATTCAACGGTTCTGTTATTTTTCTCAACACTAAACTTTGGTAATTCGAAAGACGGAATGCCTTGAGTCACTTTTTCTGATAATATAAATGGAACGTGATTATACTTTAAAGATAAGAAGTAAGCAAAATAAGAAGTGACTAAAAGAATCAAAGCGTTTCTGGAAATGCTGAGATAAAACAAAAGTTTTTTTATAACTGAACTTGAAGGTCGATCTGGAAGTTTTATATCTTTAATATTTCTTAAAGTGATAAGAAATATAATGGCGAGTGTACCGAGAGCAGCATCACCAAATTTTAATTGTTCAATATTTTGAAAAAGTTTAACTATAGTCATTGGAAAACTCTTAGCTGAATATTTAATTCCTAAAAGATTCTTCAATTGTCCTCCGATGACTAGAAGAGAGGTTGACGTAGAAAAAGATGATACAACCGGGGCTGATATAAAGTCGACTATGAATCCGAGTTTAAAAGCTCCCATGAGAAATTCCACACATCCGCAAATGAAGGTCATAATGATCACATATTCCACAGGCTTCTCATAAGTGTATGATAATGTAATAATTGACATGAGTGAAGTTGGTCCTATGGAAACTTCTCTAACGGTTCCAAAAATAACATAAACCAATGATCCCATGAATGCTGAGTATAGACCATATTCAGCTGGTAGATTCGCTAGGTTAGCATAAGCCAATGACTGCGGGACGAGTGTCAATCCCAAAGTAACTCCAGATATTAAATCTCCAGTTGCTTTCGTCTGATTGTATTCAGGAAGCCACGTCAAAATAAAAAATTTTCTACGCAGGAAATTTATGAGTTTATTACTAAACTTAACGTCCTTCTTTTCGACATAATCTTCAATTGACATTTTTTCAAAGCTCAACTTCTCTAATTCATAATTTTTCTTTTCAAGGTTTGCCATCATTTAATCTGATGAAGAACTATTCCACTAATCACCAAAATCACTTTTCAAATGATAAAACGAAAACAGTCTTTAAAGTATGATAGCGTTGATAAGAAAGCTTGAACATTCAAACACAGACTATCGTTTACTAAATTACATGCTAATTCAAAGCTTCACATTTTGTTGAATTTAAGATTTTTTTTTTATTATTTCCTTGTCTGTCAAGACATTATCTCGTTATGATAATGATCACGAAGGTATAACATGTTATAAATATTATTTATATCAAACTTGTTATTATGAATAAATTTGAAATGAGAATTTTTTTATTCTAAATATTATCCGACAATGATGTTTTCTCTTCAAACTCTGACATGAAACTGTAAGTAAAAGAATAAAAAATATTTTATAGTGTGACAAGGATGATAGTCATTTGAAAAGATTGTTACTTTACCTCATAAATGATTTGTCTGGAAACACAACATAACAAATTGTTGTTGCGAAAGAAAGCGAGAAGATAGAGTCAGAAATGACAAAAAAGATTAAATATAAGTTCTTAGAAACAAAGATTACGAAAAAATATATTTTTAAGTGCCAAATAAATAATGTACAGTGAACTCTCGTTATAAGAATGATATCATGAAATTAGTTTATTATCAATAAAAAGATCGATTTTTCAATTTTCATACAAGCTTTTATTAGAATCCATGAAGAAAACCATTTCCAATAATACAAAAAAAAATGCATTTAAAATAACAAAGAAAAATTTTGAATTTCATTTAAATATCTTAAAAAATAGAAAAAGAAAATTCATTAATTCATGAAAAAAAAAATATCCTTTAAAATGTGGATCTACTGGATTACCTAAATGTATTGTGAGTTTGTATAAAAGGAAACGCAAATATAGATGAGAACTGTTAACGAATCTTTTTTGATATGATTTCGATAAGTGCGTCGCATCTTTCACTTTTTCCACTGAAATCTTTAGGATTTGGTCCTATCATTTGAATGAATTGTGGAATATCTGGAGAGACCTGTTGAAAAGAATTATATTATTTGTAGAGAGAATAAAAACATCATGGGAAAAATGTTTGCATTCCAAGATGATTCCTATTACTCTAAATTCACTTACAAAAACAAACTTCGATAATGCTTTCAATGTCCTGAAAAGATATTCTTCTGATGGTTTCGAGTTCAAAAACTGCAAGATCGCCATTGTAATTTCAACTGCGATGTCATCAAATACCTGATGAAAGAAATTGAAATATTTTTATTTGAACTTTTCTTAATTTATTATAATATATTTAATGCATTTTCACTATCGCGTGTTTATTCAGTTGACAGAAAATACCTTTGAAAGACAACCTTTTGGTAACAATTGACGCAATTGATTAGCGTGTTGAATTTTCTGAAAAATACAGAAACAGACTGGAAAATATTTCCTCTCCAACTGAACAACGATATTCTTTAAGATGTTTGTTAATTAATAAGAGACTTGTAAAAATGCAAGTGAGAAAATGCATTAAACAACAAAAAAGAAATGAAAAGAAAACAAATGAGATACTTTACAACAGTTTTTACTTCTTTGATACCCAAGTTGTGAGTTAGGGCTGATCCAATCTCTTGTAGTTTTGGGCAATTTGACAACAATGAGTGAACAACAACTTTTGTTGTCGCACGGATATTTGATGTTTGCTGATTGTTGTAAGTCCATTCGCTGATATAAAGAAGCCACTCGGAGGAATTAGTGTTTTCGAACAAATTGCAAGCCTTTAAGAAAATAAAATTTAAACAACATTAGAAAAAAAAATTAATTTAAACTTACAAACAAAGCCAATGCTTGTTGTTCTTCTGGTTTTAATTTCTCAATATTCAACATGTAATTCATCATCACATGATCACGACGATCCTGATGTAATAACAAAATGATATCGTCTTTCAAAGCAGCGTAAGCTAGCGAACGTAAAAGATGAACACGGGCTTCAGTTGAAACTTGTTCATCATTTAAAATTCTTCCGACAAAGACGAGAAAAATATCACTCAATGCCCAACAACCGTCGCCGAGAAGAAGATATTGATGAAGTTCTTCCAAGGCAAGTTGTTCTTCTTCAGAAAGATTTCCATCGACAATTTTCACTAACTCTTCGAGTTCATATTTTGGCTGAAAGTAATTTTAAATAATTTTCTCTTTTCGAGCCAGTGTGTAACTTTAAAGTTTAAACTTACATCGATATCCTTAAACACAATCGGTGGCTCGCGATTCTTCTTTCTTTCTTCTTCTGCTCGACGTTCCTCTGCCTCCTCTTCTAATACTTTTTCGGATGGTAACATTTCTGAGTGGATAACCTGCTCTTGCTCTTCAGCTGTTCCATTGCTTTCCTCAATTTCCGACATGCCGGTTGAATTGTATTCACTACTGTCGCTAAATGTAACACGATTTGTTTTCTTTTCCTTTTTCCTTTTCTTATCTTTTTTACGCTCTTTCTTGGCGATTTTGTCAAGGCTCTGCTTACGACGCTCTTCAAGTGCTGACGAGTGTTGACGAATTCTTTCAATTTGTGAGTTTATTTCTATATAATCTGGCGATGGCTCGCGTGGTGTGTTTATGATTTGCGGTTCAAAAGAAAAATTTGAATTTCCTTCAGCTCGTTGACCTAAGCTATCTGTTGAATTAAAAATTTAAAGAAAAAGTTTGATGATTTCTTTATTTTAATCAAACATAAACATACCTATCAATGGACCAAGTGATTGTCCGATTGGCGTCGATAGAAATTCCTGTGGCAAACCTAAAATGTATTTCGGTATGCTAGCGCCACACAAAAACTGACACAAGTCTTCGGAAAATGTATTGCAATTATGTTTTAACAGACTATAACACGATCCTCTGTGCAATCAAGAAGAAAAAAAGAGAAAAAGAGAAAAATGAAAAAATATAGAAAAAATCGCAATCTTATTTCACTCTCTTGATTTTCTTTATTCACAACTTCACATCACAAATTCTCGTTTAAAGTGAAAGAGTTTCAATTCTCACCTAAATGTGCTTTCGGCTAAACCTCTCAGATAATCTTTAAATACTTGATATGGTATGAAAGTGTCTCCAATTTTTTCAATCTTTGTTGGATTACCCAAAACTGTTGTTCCCTGGAATATGTGAAAAAAAGTTTTCAAATATCTAGTCGCATTAAGGTTTTTAAAGAAAAAAGGTTTTTTTTACTCGAGAAATTCTTTTCACTTCACTTAAGCCGCACGATCGAACACGATATGTGCTCCCGATGTAATTTTCAGATGAATTTAAAATATACTGATGAGTGAAATACGTCGTGTCTCTAAGAGTTCTGTGAGATTTTTTTTTTATTGGCGAGAAAATTTCTACTCAAATTTTAAGAGAAAAAGAAAAGTCACAGAAATTCCACTCGAAACAAAGATGATATTTATTTTAAAACACCATCACGTTCTGTACACCGGCATTTGCGAGTTTTTGTTTCACAAGATGAATTCATTTCATGCGTGTCTTTAAAGAAGAAGAAATAATACTGTTTTCATTTGAAATACGGCGCAACGCTAGTGGTATAAACATGTAGGAAAATCAACTTTCCTGCTATTTGGAAGTTTCATGAAAATTGAAAATTAAAAATAGAAGTCAAAGTATTTTTTCGTTGATCTTTTTCTTCTCTCCTAACTTTTTTTTAATTTTGTTTTTCTTATTAATTCTTCTTCGTCAGGGAAAAAAATTATTTGAACTGAAATACTGAAAGAGCGTCAAAAGCTTTATAATTTAGCTTTTTTTAAAAAAATTAAATCGCTCTCTTCTCTCAAAATTCAAATGTTTTCTTTGCGATCTTTATTTTTAAAAGAAAATATATTTTTTTCTTTTCTTGTATTTAAAAATGTAAATAAAAAATAGACTTTTCTAAAAATAAAATTGAATAATCATCGCGTTTGATTTAAAATTCCTTAAAATTTGAAGATTTATTTGTTCTTTTCCAATTTCAATTACCTATCTATACTTCTTTCAACTTTTGACGAAATTGTGTCATTCAATTTTTAGACACATAAAATAAAGTAAAAAAAAAAAATTAATTTTTTTATTGCGAAATAAACACTCTTAGAAAAAGAATAGTTAGGTATTTCTTAAAAAAAAAATGCGGCGAGTGTTTGTGAACGAGACAAAATGCGCAGGAAAACTCTTCGATGTCAAGAAAAGTTTTTTTGCCC